AAAGCAGACATGGGTGTCTGGGCTAGATTAGAGGGTGTCTTAAATCTAGTGCTGTAGGCTAGGTCTAGCATTCACGCTGTTGCTAAGGAGACCTTACAGTTCTGTGCAGGCTGCAGACGTCAGAGGCAGGCTGCTGCACATCAGGAAAAAGGGCCAAGTTTGTTCTTACGTCAATCCTTTGAAAGTAAAACAGCTGGGGAGTGGGGGGGAAGAGCAGCTTCAACTCAGACTGTGTTCAGGGCTAGTTACTGTGGCAAAACAATTGCTAACTACTGCATTACACAAAAGACTGGTGTTTATGCCTGTGGATTTGGACAATTGTCGAACAGCATCCTTACCATTTTGTAGATTCTCACCATGAGCCCTCGTATTTATGGGGGACACACACACACACACACACACACACATGACATCCCTTGATGTTCATCATGTGCCACCTAGAACCTCATCCTAAACCCAGCACTAAGTATGACTGCAGCCCCTGCCTGGCCCAGCCCAGAATAAATTAAACCCCAGCACCTCAGGGTTCTCCAAAAAGTACGTATCCAGTCTAGGTGCCATGTGAAAACCCAGCAGCATTTATAGAAAGTTATGCAGAGAATGGAAATATCAGTAGCACTTTAAATGTACTAATGAAGTTCAACATAGTCTGAGAAAGAACCTACTTCTCCCCCTAGAGGATATGAAAACTAGCACAAGGAACACAAGATTATGTCAAGACCAGGAAAATAAAGAGATGCTAATGCAGAGGGCCAGGTTTTGCTTTGAAAATTTGTCTAGCAGTGTTTTAGAAGGACCAAAATGACGCCTGTAAAAACAGCAGAGTTAAAAAGTTATGTATTTATTTATAGCAGCAATGCCTTAGAAAGCTGAAAGTAAATTCTCAATTAGCTCTTTGCATTTAAACAATCTGTGAAGCTGTTTGCTACAGAACACATTATAAGTTCATTGAGAGTGACAAAAGTTTCTTTAGGTCCTTCTTCACTCACCAGGTGCCCAAATCCTTCCATTTCTTTGGTGGGAAGGGGTGATGACAGGCAGGTCCCCGTAACCAGCCAAGAGACCCCTACACACTTTCCCACCCCAGTGGTGCCCCATCATTCTGCAAGCACACCCCAGGGGAGAAGCCCTGGATGAAGGATACACAGAGGCAAAGCACCTGCCATGTCCTGTATCTGTACATCACATTTACAGTATCATACTCCAACTGGCTATACAATTCTGCAGGTGAAAATAGCAGGTAAAGATACAGCTGGACAACCAGGTAAGCAACCCAGTATTCTGGAATCCACCTCTCACCTTTGCACCCCTTCATCATTAGCTTCTTCGCTAGCTTTGGACCACAAACTGCAGGACATATTGGTCCTCAGAAAACATTGGCTTTGATGCTTTTGTATCTTGGAAGGAGCGCAGGTGTGACTCTCGCCTGAGCACACATCCCAAAGGCAAGCATGCAGCCTGCCACAGCTAGTTTTGCATTGTTTAATCAAAATATTTCAGCACAGAAATTAAAACCCTCTAAGGAGACATATCCTTATACACAGAGCTGGTTTTACTGGCTTCATCATGGGGAAACCAAATCTGCAGAACTCCACCTTTTAATGTTTCTCTTGCTACATATAACATATAGTGTGGGAGAAACAACAAATTCATACCTGTCACAGACTCGGAACCAAGACGAAGCCTGATGCCAACTGCTCAGAGTTGCAAACCAGCCATATGGTACTGTGGGACTTCAGGGAGATGGGAGGTGAAAACACCACCACCTCACTGATGAACTTGTTTGCAGCTAAGCATATCTTAGCTAGGAGGATCTCCCTTCCAGTCCTCCCCCCCATCCCTTTCCCACTGAGTCCTAGTGAATGACTGGGAAGATGGGACTACTTGGGGATGCCCTGAAAGATAGGTTTAATTGCTTTTGTATGTTTTTATCTTTGATAGCAGTTATAAACACTCCCACTCACATACTTAAGCTTTCAAATGTCACTAAATCTTTTGGCTGCAAATTCCCAGAAGCGCATTCTTCCAAGCATCTGACCTGTGCCTGAGAATCTGATGTTCTTACACAAGCTACTCGCATTCCTGCCCTGGCAAAACTACTCTGTCCACACAGCTGCCAGCAGCAGGGCACACTGTAAACATGCTGGTATGGCAAACAAAATGTGTGGGCCTTGTCAGATCCTAATACCTGTGGGGAGGGGAAAAAACCCTACCCCATCATACATTGATATCAATAGAGCATAAATGAGTATCTCTGCTGCTCTGAACTTGGAAGGTTTTTCTTTAGCACAAGATACAAAGCCATGCCATCCCATCCACATCCTCCCCTTTTGGTAGTTGTGTCTAACATTTCTTAATGACCATTCTATTGCTTCAGCCACCACCAGACAGATGGTTCATTTCAGGGTCTTGGCCCAAAGAGCTCCCAGCCCACCCCATTCTTATGGACTTCCATACATCTCAAGCCTGCAATGGCCAGGACACATGAACTGCCCTTATCACCCACATTAACAAGCACATACCCAGGTGCAACAGTTATTCCCAGGCCATCTGCACTTGGACATAGGCTTTTCTGGCATGCTCACACCCTGACTATGTAAACATGCCCTAGAGAAACACCTGAGGCAGCAGATAGGTCCTACTTGCACAGCCAGCACAGACAGTCCTGCTGCACATCACTGCAAGCAAGGCTGCAATCTTAGATGACTGATTTGGGACCACCTTCATGCTACAGAATGGCTAAAGCCAGGCAAACTTGATCAGGCTGTGGTGCGTAGCCTAGGGGTAGACAAGGTTACGTGGGCTGGGATGTTTCCTCAAGCACAGCTAGCAGCCTCCTTTCTCTGAAGTGTCTCCTCAGGTAAAGGAGGTAAACACCCTACAGTGGGACACACACTTGGGCTCTGGGGGCTTCCAGCCTCTTTGCCAAGAACTAGCATCTACCCTTGTCTTCAGAGCAGCCAGCCCAAGTGAAAGGGTTACTGTGTCTTGTGTCTGACAGCCCCTGACACACACTGATCAGTCACAGACCAGTTTCCTGGTAGAATCACCCACTGCTGGGCTACATGAAGCTTCTTAGAGATTCACGTGTACTTAGCCCACTTCACCAAAAACACTAAGGTCTGCTCAATGGACAACCTGTTGCTGGAGGAAGGCAACAGCTTGGACACAGCCTCCCCCTAACCCTTACATACACTTCCTAGTGCACACACCTTTATGAGCCACAACTGCCATCACAGATGCACATACCATAACCTGTTAGTCAGCAGGAATAATCCTCAATACAATGGGATTTGAAGGACAAAAGTGCACAAAGCTATTACTGTTTCAGTCACCTTCAGCACTGCACCTATGAACACTAGTCAGGTTCAGGGCAGCCATTACCAAGGCCACCTCTGCCTGACTATGCCTCTCCACAAGCTCCCATGTTAGCAAGGAAAAGCAGGAAGTAATGCCGTACATCTAGCAGCACCTCAGCCCTCAGCATTAAGACAAATGGCCATCAACAGCAGTCCCTCACCTCTGAACGCAGGTCTTGCAGCTCCTCCTCCCTTCACTACCAAGTCAGAGGCTGCCCCTTTCTTATACCTGATGTAATGCCATTTTCCAAAACAGGTATTTCATCTCAGTCTCCCAACAAACATCCCCACTTGATGAGGAAATACCAGTCTTGCTTCCCAACATGCTCCAGCAATACTGCCTACACTTAATGAATACTATACACAAGAGTGCTGTAAATCCTTGTATGGATAGGGAGAAAGGGAGCAGAGAGAGAGTGAAGACCACTTTCTCTCACCGGGTTTACAGTCAAAGAGGATGTGATGGTCACACTGGGGAATAAACCACGTGTGCCGTTGGACAACATCATCTCTCTTTTGGGTGTGGGAGTTGAGGAGCAGAGAGAAGGAAGCTTAAAAATGTCCCTGACCAACCCATCGTTGCTGGATATCCACTGATGGATAAAAGCTGTCCTCTGTCAACAGAGAATGCATGCCCTGCAAGCTTAAACCCCTAAGGTCATCAACCCCACCCCTAATGTGGGATAACACAAATATCGAGATATTCACTGGACCTGGAACCTTCCTCTGTGCTGGCACAGGCGAGTTCTGAAACTACAGGCAGTGGGAGAAGGCAGCTGATGTGCTACAGCATGGGGAGGACACCTCTCCCAAGAATTGTCAACCTCAGTAGGTGAAGAGGCTGCCAAGAGAGGTGGCTTGTCTTCATTACAGCACCTGTGCCCCAGCCAAGTGGGTCTGCCAAATTCTCCCTACTGAAGACCTGGGGCACCTCAGAACAACATGGACTGGTAATGCTGAGCCATACCATAGAGAGATCCTGTCACAAGCCTTTAGGCAGCCTTGAATTCAAACATACATGACTAATCTCGACAGCAAACACCCATCCGACCAGCTCACAAAATAATTCCATCATAATATTTTTAAGAGAAGGAGTACCCTATGTTGTGATCCAAGGAAAAAAGAAAAGATCATCAGGCTTTGGTGTGTTTGAGTCCACCTGATGACAGCTTCAGAAGGGCACAGGGCAATGAGTACAGCTGCCTCCCAAACCACAAAATTTGGCTTTCAGTAAGATAATGTCAAAGGTGATGCAAGCACAGGGAGGCAGCAAAGGCACAATGGCAGGAGGGTTATCCACAGGTGACTGCAGAAGACAGCTAACAAAATTTGCCTCCATACAGCAGAGAAGCCATGGGCCTTTGAATGGCCATTCCTCCTCCTCCAGAAATCTGTTTGAACTGAATCTTTGAACAGCACTCTGCTCTGGAACAAACCAAACTAGCTTGTATACAGTGCGAGGAAGTGGAAAGACCCCAGGAACAAATCAATGCGAATTTAACAACAGCTTAAACCTGCATAGGCAAAGGATTTTAACACGCACAAGCGTTGAACTCATTCTTTCCTTCGAAAAAACCAGTGGGGTACTACTCTGTTCAAACAATTACACCATGTTATTAACAACACCACTCTCAGAATTAATACTGTATGTATATAAATAAAGGATTTTTTATTAAAAAAAAGATGGTGACTAAATAACCCACAACAAACCATCCCTTTCCCCAAGCCAAAGCTGACTTCATTTGCCTTTCTTCATTTTTGCAGTCTTTTCTTTCCGCTTCTTCACATGCTTTGGGATTTTGTTTTTTCTCTTCTCTCTTTGAGCTTCTTTAACCATCTTTTTCCTTTCCTATAAAGAGCCAAACAGCAATCATTTAAAGCCACAAGAGAGATTTTTGAGCAGGTCAATCAATTGTTATATTAACAAGTTAGTTAACACACCACATAAAAGCGAGGTTATCAAGAGGAAGAAATAAAAACTAAAATAAAGTCAATAAGGAACGGTGAGGGGAAAGAAAACAGGAAGTACAGTTTGGAGGTGGAGCTACAAACTGCACACTGGTAATGGCAAAGCAAAATTCAAACTAGTTAAAACCTGAGCTTCAAGCAACCTTTGAAGAAAGGGAACAAAAGACACTCTTAACTCATGCTGTTTATACCAAAGATTACAACAGGATGCCTCATCTAGGTTTTCTGCTACCCACAGGGCTATTATAGCGTGTGTTTCTATATGTTATGCAAAAACACTGCCCCAGTAACTACTGGTAACTCAGAACAAGCTGATCATCATCAAGACTGTCAAGAAAAGGTGCTATGCTACTGCAATATACCATAATTTGTGCCAGACAGTAAACAGACTACACTCAACTAGGAAACACCAAGTCAGCCTAATAAGACTTGGGGATCAGAGTAGCTGCTGCTAATCAGTTGTTCAACCTACAGCTGAACACACAGGTTACCAAAAACCTCATCTTACTCAAAAAGAAGTCCAAATGAAAACCTACCTATAAGATGAGAAATGATCAAGACTTGCCTGCTTCATATCTGAAAGGCAGGAGGTCTAGATTGACAGAAAGTCTCTATCAGAGCAGTACATTTCTATCTCACAGATATGGAATTAGCCTACCTTTCCTAGGAAGAAAAGCCTAACAAGCAAACACCCAAATCTTGAACTCGTTAAGCCCAGCAAGTTTCATCCTTCTTTTGCAGAGCACCTAAAAAGCTGCCAAAAGCTCTCACCCATGGCTGATACTCTGCAGAAAACCCTCATGAAAACAGAGCATACTTGTTCTGCATTTTGGAAAATGACACCTCAAAAACCCCCACCAAACCCAAACCATAAGCCCTTTGCATGACTGTGTTACATCTCTTGCCCACAGCAAAGCTAGCCAGTCTCTACTAAAGGTACTGCAAAAGCCGCTGTGGTACAAACACTGCCATCAAGTATCCAGTTCTATAGGTCAACTGGGCTCAGCTCCCTGGGCATAAGGAGGTTAATGAGGGACCACGAACCTGAACAGCAAAGTCTGGAAGAGTAGCAGGAGGCACTGAAAAACTGCCCAGGCTTCACTAAATTCTGCTTTGTGTAGCCTTAGAATTCCCTGCAGAGATCTCTCTTCTAGCTTTGTCTAGGCTACAGAGACCTACATTAAAAAAAACACACTAACAAAGCATGCACAGTGAAATCCACTTTCTCTGATCTCATTCTGCACAACACGAAACATGCATATTTTGTTTCAGACAAGAAGTAGCAAGAACCACTCAGAACTATATTCATATTTTTTTCCTGTAACATCAGCAGAAGTGGGGAAAAAGTCAACAATTCCTGGCCAGCTGACCTTTTTATCCATGCCAACTTCAGCAGGCTTATCTTTGGGATGTACAGATTCTTTACAGCCTGAATCAGAGTACTCTGAGCTGCCATCATCATCAGAGTCTGTTTCTGACACATCTGCCTTCTTTTCTAGAAGGGCAGGAATCTGTAATATATATCAAAAAAGAATTGTATCAAACAAAAAAAGACTAATGACATACAGACATATATACACTATATAAATACAAAACCCAAACCAGAATCTGCTGCAAAGAAATGCTTGAACAAGCTTGTCTGCTCTCCTTTACTATAGCCATCACCCAAGTCTCAAGAAAAAGAATGAAAAGTAGATTAATCCAAACTAAGAACAAAGAATCTAGAATGTGCAACACAGATTTTTAGGCCAGGGCTCACACTGCAGCTGTATTGGCACTTCCAAACTAATTTCCATAAGTTAATCAGCGATTTGCTAACATATGTGGAAGCCAATTTTAAATCATGCCTGCATTATACCCAGATCTACCTTGGGGGCACTGTATGTACGCTTTATTGTGAGCACACATATCTACACTGGAAAACTCATTTGATTCACTGTGCCACAGCCTCATCCCATCCATGTTTATATATCATAACATTTACAGAGGAGAATCCACACAGGGCTTCTGCCTTTAATTTAACTGCTACAAACTAATTTGTACCCAACTTCTTATCCAACATACTTTACAGAAGTGTCACTGTCAAGTACTTCAAACATAGTAAGGCATAATATCTTACACCTTATATTGCAGGGTTGTTCTTTGAACCCAGGACACACAGTAATTACAACAAAGCTGCCCTGAACATAAAAACACTTGTAGTCATGCTACAGTTTAAATCAATTAAGTTTTCCATAACTGGAAAACATCTGCCCTCCTCTCCACCTTAGAGATCACTGCCATAGTAAGGATTATCATTTCATTCTAAGCAACCCATTATCAGCCACAGTGCACGGAAGCAATTTATGAGGTGCAGACACACTGTCTGGTCACTTTGCAAACAAGAGGCTTCTTTCTTGACGCCAGCTGCAAGACAAGGCATCTGCTATGGTCCCTGAAAGTGCTTTCCTGGGAATGGCTAAAATTAAGGATTTCAAAATTACCCTCTTACCTCCTGAACACCAGACAAATCCTTCTTCAGTCCCGTCACAGTCTGGTAGAGAATCTACAACCAGGGAGGCAGAAAGAAAATTACATCATCAAAATATGAGCCTAACCGGAGGATTTTAAAGTATGGCACTAGATTCAGTACTCCACACCTTGGTAACAAGGCTCCTGGTTTTGTTTGTTGCTGTCAGTTTCCAGGAAGAATTCCCCATATTCCCTCCCTCTTTTTTACAGTGTCTCAGCATATCTACTTACATTATCTTGCTGAACATTCAATGCCATGTCCTCTTCTTTCAATTTCATCATTATATCCACATCTCTCTCATAGTTTTTAACATCAGTCAAAGTTCGAGGTATGTAAGCCTTCTTAAACACCTAATAGAGGGAAAGGAAACACAGGCTCTCTAATTTACATAGAGTTTCATGACGTTCTTTCCTCCTAATTGCGCGTCCTTAAGGGAATAATCATGAATGATTTCATGGCTCAGAGAAACTAAAAATACAGAGTATCTGTTTTTTGCAGGAGGGGACTTATCATGCCAGCTACATATTATTGATAGATGATGACTAAAAGGCTGCTTTCTTAGCATGACTACCACCAGGCACTTACAAACTTCTCCAATCCTTCCAACTTCCTCTTAACTTGAGCCATCTTTTGTATTCTAAGGATTTTTTCTAATGTTTTTATTGTGATGTTTACAATGCCTTCAGGAGGAAACTCCATTAAAATGCACTGTTAGAACTTAATCTCTTTATTTAACAATACCTGCTACAACCTACAATCCAACTCAAAAAAGGTTCCTGCAGCAGTACAGTATGGTAAAACCTAACTGCAGTATCAACACCACCACACTTAAAATTTGTCATGCACTCTTTCTGAAACAGTCCTCCAGCAAACTTAAGTCACTACCAGCTCAGAGGGGAGTATTTGCTTCTCTTCTTCATGGCATCAGTTCAGTTCCAATAGAAACTCAGTATGATTTACGATCATACCTGCTAGACTAAGTGCTGTGCAAAAAGCAGAGGCTTCCACCTCCACATAGCTTGCCCTTAATCAGCTCTACTCTTGTGATGAAGGGAGTAGCACAAGCTCGCCATGGTCACATGAGACGTCTAAGAGAAACAAACTGAACTTAGACATTGCTAAACCAGCTGTCTTACAGGTCAATACCTTTCTATAAGCAATGGAATAATTGGTTTGCAAAAGATGGGCTTGCAGCAAGACACTAGTATCTCAGCCTAGAGTTCAGAAGTTGTATGCTGAGGCTACCTTAAGAAACAAACCAAGAAGATCTTTCCTTGGCCAAGCCTGAGCCAGCAGCAGTTAGTAAAAGCTGCAAAGCTACACGAGAAAAAGAAGTCTCTGATAAAACAAGCAGCATTGACTCCAAAGATATTCTCCATGTGAACCAGTACAAATAAGTTCTCAGTGATACAAATTCTGCTCAACACAGAGTTGGTTGGGGGTCTTTTGTTTGTTTCGTTTGGGAGAAAGGAATAACTTTTCTGAAACACATGCATAAGACAAAGGTAGAAACTGTTTTTCTTTACATCAAGCCTTTTCAGAATGTTAGCAGTTTTCTGTAATGGACTTGAAAAGGCTTCATTTACTGTAAAAGCAAAAGAGAAAATCAGTACATGGAAGAACTGAATTGGACTGAGACTGGAGCTAGGTAGACAATTTGGTCAATGCACGCATCCAAATACCCTGCTTCTGAATCACTGGTCTAAAAGCACCTGCAAATCATATCTCTCCACTCCAGCTTTTCCGTTAACTGAACATGAGTTGGGAGATAAATCAAGGGACCTAGCTTCATGCAAACACTGGTTTAGGAAATGGACTATTTGCCTTCTAAAACCTTACCATTGTCAGGTTTTACACACAGCATCCCTTAATGCTTCACATCTCAACTAGCTCAAGACATCTCTATCACAAACAGTGATTTGCTTATCAACTGTACACTCTGCCAAACAGAAGAGAACATTTTTCATCGTTTAGAAAAGGCAAGGTAAATATTAATTTCGTAGCAGAAATCCTCACTTACTTCCTCATCCACTTTATCCTGGCTGGATCTTTCCTCCTCTGTTCTTTTGGATGCTATTTCCATTGCCTAAAGAAACATAAAACAATACGAAGTCATCGCTCTAGAATCGCATCACTTAAGCCAGTTAACCATTCCCATCTGTGTTTCTCCCTGTATTCCATCCATGCTGTCACTCACAAATACTCCAGCCTTCCCTATGGCAATGCCTTGAGCGACACCTAGTGGTACGTAACGTTTCTACGAAGCACATTTGAAGCTGCAGATCCGCTCCATTAAGAGGGAACACACGCTTGCTGCTCCTTCCGGCCAATTATGGCAGGCCCAGCATGACTACAGGACATACTAGTCCAAGGAGAATACAGTGAGCAGCGTTCTGTCCTGGAACTTGGCTCTTCTGACACACATAGAGCAAGCAAGAGGACCACAAGTAAGGGGAACGACACAGCACAGCTCTGTTTTGTTCAACCCCAATGTGATAGGAAGTACAGAGCAACTGGAAAACTCCACGCTGTACTGGTATTTTGACTACACTCACATGGTCTTGACCACAAAAGACACATCGAATCTCCACTCTGACCATGGCACATGTGTTCACCATTTCTCTTGTGTTAATTTAAAAGCTCTGCCAAACACACAGTCCCCCCTTTTTAAAGAAACATCTAACTGGGAGCAGAAGACTGACAGCTACAGATGAAATACATGGGTGCTGCTAGCAGGTTTCCACCTCCTGAAATCAGTGTGTTTTGCCAGCCATTAAATTTGGCTAGCAAGACCACATACCTAGGAGTAACATTGCCCTGAGTCATTTGCTTCCTCCCTCAGCCCACCCTGCTCAAATTTGTATTCTTAACCCCATTCTCTATATAAGCATGGTCATATTCCAGCAGAGCTTCTTGTTGCCACAAGAAAGAACTAATTTAAAGCACCTGAAACAGCCATTTGAGTTTTCATGATTAGACATTTAGAGCAAACATAGAATGAAAGTGATGACATCCTATAACGGTATAAACAGAAAAGATGAAAAGACCTGTATGCATTTCTGCATATGATAAGCATAATACAATGTCATGTACCAGCTTCCTTGAATAGCAGGACGGATACTACATGACATGATGAAGCTTGAACTAGGTCTGATTTTACTGTTCATGTCCTCCTACATAAGCAACAAGGCCATGAGGTCTTACCTTAGACAGATAGTCATCAATGTTCTCGCTTGTGATAGAAGGATCAGTAATAAACTCAAACAGCTCCCTCACAGTCATCACTGCAACATGGTGCTTCTGGAAAAAGTCTACCAGAAAACAAGGGCAGAGACAAACACTGTAAGTAATTATATGTAACATAAGCAGCTGTGATGTTAAAGTGACAGTTACAGCAAGCCAGCAGCCATGATGACCTGGCATGTACTGTACCATACTGGGTTTAGTTATCAGATAATTCTTGGCCATCTGAAAAAAACCTGTTCATCTTCCAGATGCAACAAACAATGAAAGGAGAATAACTGGGTAAATACAAAAGCCAAATCAATTTAGCAAGGAGCCAGACTGAATGGAGTAGGGGCTAAGTAGTAAAAAATTCAAGATGGGTGCAGTATTTGCAATGACTAAGATGAAAAATGTATTTCAAAGAATAACGAATGGAGACCTCAAACTTTTGCAAAAGTAAAACAGAAGTACCCACTGAAACACAGTACAGACTAATTACTTCCCTAAAAGGGAAGACATTAACATACTAGATTTTTCCTCAATAATACATTCAGAATTGGTTCAAGTATAACCAAATTCAGAGGCTGTGCTTTTGCACTAAAGAACAATAATGAAAAACACTGCATATCACTTAATAAGCATATCCCACTGAAGTTCTCAGATTTCTCACCATGAGAAATTAATCACAGAAAGAACAAAGAAAGATTTAGTTTGGAGGCAGCTCTCTGTGCCCATGGAATCACAAATCTTTGTAATGATCACAGCTAGGGCAGAGCAAGGTGTTTCTCAGTCTCTGTAGGAGGACTACACAGAGAAAGTTGCAGTGACAGAAAACAAAGAAAACACCAAAACCATTGCAGCTCACTGAGGCGCTAGGACACTTAGCGAGAACAAGCTAAAAGACATGAAGACGAGCAAGGGTGCAAGTATCTGAGCCAGAAGGGGGTTATTAGAAATCCATGAACAGAAAAGGAGCGAGGAAAAGCATGCACACTGGCTATCAACAAACACACAGCATCAAAATGCACACAGTTCTATTCCCACAGACTTTCAAAAGTCTCTGAAAAATTAGGAAAAATGTCAATGCAAAAAGAAAGGGGGGACAAAAGCAAGCCACAGCGACAGATTTCTTGCCCTCAGGGAGAAACACACCCTGCCAGCTGTGTGTCTGTTACACAACATGCATATTCACACGTGAAGACCAAATTTTCCAGAGAAAAATACCATGAAGGTACTTTATTTATCAAAATAGTATGACAAGTGATAACATCTCTAATAAATTACTCCATGCCTTGATCCCCTCATCTGACCTGGACAAGTGCAGGGAACTTTGTAACACATGGTAACTTCTTGCCAGCTGAGGAATTCCAGATGTGGATTCCACCCACAGAAAGAAACGCATCAGTAAGTGGGCAGAGTCCTTTAAGAAGGGAAGTTAAAACTGGAGTGGGCACTGCTGCATACTGGGACTGACCTCAGATCTATCATATTTATGAGATCATAGAATAGTTTGGGTTAGAAATGACCTTAAGATCATTAAGTTCTAACCCTCCTGCCATGGGCAGGGATGCCTCACACTAGACTATGCCACCCAAGGCTCTGTCCAACCTGGCCTTCAACACTGCCAGGGACAGACCTCACTTTCGGCAGATGATTTCTGGCAGGACAGGCTGCACTCTTCTGAACCTGGACCAGTACATTTCTCCCTGAGGAAGTAATGAGACCCAAGGAGAGAGAGTATTTTAATGGAAGTTAGACTCTACAGTCAGTTATACCTGAAAGAACATAGATGAACACAGCTCACCTTCCTAAATAAACCAGCTATCAGAACCAGAGTTAAAGTGCAGCCCACTCACCATTAACATTGGCACAATCCTTCCGCAGGAACTCCAGTGCATGTGGGTGGTCATGTTCGACAGCCTGAGACACATCAATGATGTACACATCCCCACTGTGGTACCTGCAAACAAAAACCCCAAAAAATCCAACACATGCAGAGCTGCACTAATTCAACCACTGTTACATAGGAGATTATGAAGGAGCACGGAACAAACTGTGCTTCAAACTTAAGAGCCAGCAATCTCAACGTATTTCTCCATCACACACCTCACATATTAGAACCAAAGTGGCTTTTTTGTGTCAAACCTTTCCCACCCTCTACACGAGCTTTATTATTAAACTTTAAAGAAATCATCTTCCCATGAACACAAAAAGCAGTGCTATGAGTAGGGGGAGAGAAAGGAAAAATAAAGGTACCTTATTAATTTGTTCTCTAGTTGAGAGTTTTTGTTTGCAAGGGGGTTGTGGTTTGTTGGTTTTTAGCTTTCTTTTTCCCTCTTTGTTGGTTTGGAGTTGGGTTGGGGTTTTTTTGGTGGTTGGCTGGGGTTTTGGGGTGTTTTCTTGTGCAGTTTGTTGGCTTTTTTTTTTTTTTAACAGAGAAAGCTCAAATCTGAGTTAAAAACTACATAATTAATTAAGTTACAAAACCAAGTCACAAAAGGGGCCCCACCCTCCCCTAGAGGTAGATTAGTACTCTTACTTAGATGTTGCCAATGCATACATTTTAGATGTCACAACTTGGAGCAAAGTTTAGAAACATACAGCATATTAAATTCACTGAGATCTGCGTGAACAAGTCTGGCATCTTGGTACATTCTTCTCATGTATTGGATGATTTGCAGGTACAGCTCCCGAACTTTGGAGTCAGATAACTGAGCATTCTTCAGCAGAGGAGCAGGCCTTCAAATTACAATACAAATAACAGAAAGTGAATACTTTTTCCTTCTTCATATCAGCTGCAAATGCTTTAATTCTTGTACCTGATCCTCATGCTCAGTGTGTCAAGCAAGTCTGTATGAGCAGCTAAGTACATGGAGCAAGCATGAAGAGCAGCAAAGCATGGTATATGCTCGCCAAAGATACTGGAGCTCTGTTTTGTGAGTTAATTTTGACCATGCCACATAAATATTTGTACTACAAAATAATGAGCTATCTTCATGTACGATTAGCAAACATTTCCAGCCTTAATCTCCAAGTAAGCTGATTTATGAATTCATTATGCACACAGCCAAGGCTTCAGAATCATGTAGATTGTCTGCAGTTGTAGTGGCAAATGTCTGGGTATTCTAAAAGTTACATGCACATAAAAGCGTAATGTTAATTTTATAGGCCTAAAGTAATAGTAGATAAAGCCAGAGAATTGGTTGGTTTGGTTTTAATAAACTTTTGTGGAAAACTACTAATAAATATTTGATTTTCTAAGGTTACTTACCTATCACCTTTACCAATAAAGCCCATCACAAGCACATGACTTCTTAGCATAACTGGCTCTGGGCAAGGTATCTGGGCTGTATTCAACCTGTAACACAGGAACAAAGCCACAGAAAAATTAAATCGAACTCTACTGTTTGCACTGCACTTGTGCCTATAGGAGCTCTGCTGCTTTAAGCATCATACACAGTAAGAGCTCCTCTACTGAGGCAACTCTCACTTGTTAGGAACAACTAGGAAATGAAAAAAAAGCCACAACTATTTTGGCTCCGACCCTTCTCTAAGAACGCTTGTGTCAGACAAAGAATCTTTACACAGTTCAGGTTAATCCTAGATTAACCTGTATCATGCACCATGTCGCTCCTCAGCAGCAGTTATTTCTAGCTTTTCCTCACTTTTCAGTCATATCAGACTGGGAGTTTAGACACTGAAAAGCTTAGAGCAAGTCAAAGGAGTATCTTTATTCCTCCCTCCCCTTTCTTTTCTCCCCCACAGGGAAGCTTAAGATACTTTATGAATACTCCAGAGACTCTAGAAGGTAGAGGTAGCCACAATCTAGCAATTAAACCTAGCAATTAAAAAGTTTCAGATACCTTTTGATGCTGAAATAGAAACTGGAATAATCACCTTATTAAATTTCTCATTTCTTTTTCAGCCCACGTCTTCACCATTTTTCTTGGGTTGCCTTTACAATACCCATGACGAAACCTTTAAATAAAGAAGACAACAGGGACTCTTAGCCAAACAATGCAGTATTAGCACCAGTGACTTTACCACCTTTCAAACAATGCCTTTTTCCCAGTAAAACCAGGCAGGAATCAACTCACCTGAATTCACCGCTCACATACTTATCCCGATCTTTAAACATCAGGATAGATGTTTTGTAAATCTTTATTGCTCTGTTCTCCCCACTTGCAGTACTGGCATGATACACATTAGCCTATCAGATTATAAAGAGAAGAAATAACATTAAATAAAAACTCTTAAACCAGCATAACCTCTCCTTTTCTCTTTCCAACACCTGGGAAAGATCTGATAAAATGATCTGATCTCACACCAGCCTCTACATAGCACTCAGCTGAGTGCACAAGGGCAGCTTACAGGAAGTACATGAGACTGCGTAGGGGTCTGAAATCCATATGGGACAAAAACAACAATGCACAAGAAAACTCCACCTCATTCACATTTTGGAGACTGAAACAAGCTCTCATGCAAAGGATTGAGTCTGTGCACTACTTTGGCTCTAAAGCATAGCCCAAATACCTCATATTGACACCTCTACACAGGGTGGAATTATGCCTTTAATCAGTATTCAAGGACTTGGGAGAAAAGCGTATCTGCCCAGGTGGCTAAGCATTCTAGGACTGATTTATTAACTTACTTGGAAACTTGTTTTCTGGTTTTAATTATCTATAATATTACTTGATAATAACAGCACATAAACATGCTCATTTTGTAAAAGCAATGAAGATTTAATAGCATTTTAAACAGAATTTTGTTGCACCATTTAGATACTTCCATGTCTGCTGACATGTGCAGCTGGTCTGATCTGCATGTAAGAGTCTCGCGTGAAGAAAGAATTACCTGGCTTTGTATGTTTTTTTCATACACTGTTTAACAGCATGTGTACATATACACATAACCAAAAATTTCAGTTGCAGCATACAATTAACAAGATCCACAAATATAACATTTAAGCATTCTGAGAAATCTTTCATACTTGAGGAAACTTGTTTTCTTCAATATAAATTGCATTTTGTCTTAACATAACCTCCTACCAATCAAGCAACACAGAGAAATAAATAGTGCTAAACCCTAGTATTTCATCTTTCATCATCTGAGCAGCATAAGCTTCTACTTAGCTTACTAAGACTATTACAGCATTTGTAATAAAACTTACTTCTTTCCCTGTGCTGATGCAGCCGTTGATTTCTGATATGACACCTCTAGTTAGCATCTTGAACAGAATCATCCGGGTCCTTGGATCTAATACCTCAAATTTAATATGGAATAGTCAGCACAATGGATGTCTTTGAACAGGAGAAAACCTAGTAATACAGTCCAGACCTAGCACCACATTTAAAGGACCCATGGCTTTAGACCATTCTTAAGGATCAAATGATAATCCAAACAGCAACCACTCTGAATTTTCCCATGATTCTAGAATGAAACTTTACTTTCTTTTTCAGCATTACTTTTCTCTTTCTTAAACTAAGCATATGTCCTTGAGCTCCCTCTAGAAGAGACGTAAAAGAACGATTTCCCCACCCACAGTTGCATTCAATGTGTCAAAATAAGTTTTCCCTTGATACACAGCTATCATAACTGGGATAGAGCAGCTTTCTGGCTTTCAGCCAGTAATATTTCAGTCTTGTTAAAGAAGAAAAAACCCAAACCCAGCATCTATTTATTGCTTTTTGGAATTTAGTTTAAGGAGTTTAAGATGGAATTCTGCCTTGCAAAACACAATGCTAAGCACAAAAATAAGCTAAAAAAGCTTATGGAAGCAAGTACTACCTTCATATAAGAAACAAAGAAGAAACAGGTCTGTTCAGGATAACTTGCTTCAGCAGAGATAGAGCTTATTTTTTTTTGTAGTAGCTGGTACAGGGCTGTGTTTTGGATTTACTGTGAGAATAATACTGATAACACACCAATGTTTTAGTTGCCAATAAGTAGCACTTGCTGTAAATAAAGGACTTCTCATTTTCCCATGCTCTGCCAGTGAGGAGGGGCACAAGAAGCCAAGAGGGAGCACAGGCAGGACACCTGACCTGAACAAGCCAAAGGGATATTCCATACCAGAGATCATCCTGCTCAGTATCTAAACTGGGGAATCTGGCTGGCAGCCACCGACCACTGTTCAGGGACAAGCTGGGTAGCAGGTGATGAGCAGTTGTATTGTGCATCACTTGTGCTTCCCAAATCTTATTCCTCTTCCTCTCTTATTTCCCTGTTATTGTTATTATTATTTCTATTATAATTAATTTAATTTCAATTATTAAACTCTTCTTATCTCAGCCCACAGGTTTTATCTTTTCCCATTCTTCTCCCCATCCCGTTAAGGGGGCGGAGAAGGAGTGAACAAGCAGCTGTGTCTACTTCTTTGCCAGCTGGGGTTAAACCTCAACATTGTTTTACCATTGATTCCACAATTCCACATTATTTGCTCCAGTCAAAAGATAAATTTGATGAATTACCTGTTCTACTGTTGCTCTGTCTGACTTGTCTTTGACTCGATACCTAGCAGAAGTGAAAAAAAAAAAATTATACAAACCCACATATGGACTCAGTACTTCAGAGTAAAACATCATATTCTCTATCACTGATGACAACCTCCAGAAGCAAAGCTTTCAATTCATACAAAAGCAAAGGTTTCTCCTGCAGGTGAGAGGGAGTAGGGGGAGAAATCCATAAACATCAGTGCCCTTCACTTTTATAGTATCTTATTGCCTCCTCTGAACTATGCTTATTCAGTAGAAAACAGTATCTGTCTTAACAACCTAGGGCTGAAAGCTGCAGGCTTAAAAATAAATTTTAAGTACCACCTTTCCCTCACCAAATCACAGCAGAAGGAACTGATGAAGGAAGAGAAAAGGCTTTCAGTACCTTTTTAGCCCAACATCTTAAGGACCTCTGTTTAGAAATAGGACAGCAGCAATAGTCTCTAGTGGAATGACACCCATCACTTCCATCTTACTGCATCAATACAATCAGATGTGCTATCAGCAGCAGCAACAGATCAAAACTTCAGAATGATTCATGCAACTGACTGGGAAACCAAAAGGTTTAAATCAAAAGGCAAACTGCATGCAGACTGCTTACAGACTTAGTTTTTCATAACAAATTTATTCAAAACTCAGGTTCACACTAAGAAATAAGAACTACTCTTCTGAGTTCCAATTATTTGATTGAAAATAGAACCATGAATAATACTCACATGTCTGCTTCCTTCTGTCTAGACTTTTCCGTGACTCTGTTTATAACAGAGTCATCAAAATTTAACTTATCTGAAAAACACATAGAAAGAAATTAAAAAAAAATCCAAATAAGTTTCAGAATTGCCCCTATAATTCTGTGTCCAGTCAATATGCCACAAGACAATGTTAAAAGACAGGTGGAGTTCTCTGTAACAAGCACGGAAGCTTAGCTACATACCAAAGTTAACCTAGCTTTCCACTCTGTCTACACAGATAAGTGAGACAGTCCACAGACCTGGAGGTGCAATGCCATCCAGAAGTAATGCCCGTTGGACGACCCTTCACCATTAAATTTTTCTTCCTTTTTCTTATCACAATCAAATGCAATTTTTTAAGTAATAGCCTCCAGGATTCTTTCCCCATGATGTATTTTAAATGGTGTTTGATTAATTGCTAAATGTATAAAAACTGCTGTATTTTGGTATATATATCAGCACGACTCTTCTGAACCTTCATTTTAGAACCACTTCATTATAAAGGAAAGCACAACCTCTGCTTACTACCCTGTCAAAAGCCCCCAGTCACATCTAGCCCTAACAGCCTAACAGGCTGACCTGAACTGCCATTTCCATCACGGTAAACACCAAACTACACTGGCTAGGACAGCAACCCCTTCGTTCATCACAGAAAGTCTACCCCATTTTTTCATCTGTTTGGCAATTGTTAACTCACTCCAATGAGTTCTGGCATAAAGTAAGATAAATGAGTCTGAGAATATCTCGGAGAGGTATTTGTTTTCATAAAGACAACAATGCAATTATACTCACCTAAATTAATTTTATGTTCAAATTTCCTTAAAGCCTTGTCTGTAGGGGTAGACATTTTTGCTGAACAGCAACTAGGGGTCTGTCTATTCACCTGAAACAAAGGATTTATTAATGTAAGTTGCCTTCCTAAATGGCCCTTTTAAATACAGACAACATCATTGGAAAAAATTAGCTCAAATACCTATTCCTAGAGCTAAGGAAAGAAAATCAGGAAAGGTGAGACAATGAACTAACATAAGACTTTATTTAATTCAAGAAATGAAAATACAGGTGACACACCAGTTAAAATTCAAAAAAGTGCCCTAATTCAGAGTTCTTTTTAATCTGGAAATTTAGCTACAAGTCTTTAATACTTTTCCTATGTGTAACAGGAAGAGAAATAGCAGACAGAAACAAGGAGAAAAATGAGAAGAAACAAAAAGCTAATAACAAGCAGGTATGGTCTTAAATTTAAATAGAAAGGATGAGGAATATCCTGAAAACCATGTAGGATAAATATCAAAAGGTAAGCAAAATCAGCAGAGATCAGCCCAGGCAAAGAAAGGAAAGTTGAAGAAGGTAAGGAACAGAAGGAAAAGTGCAGTGACAAAGAAAATCCAGTGATAAGAGTTTGAGAAGAGGAAATCAAGCACAGCTCTGGCTACATCGTATATACAGACATGGCATGGCAGATGAACAAGAATCAAAGGAAGATCATTCTCTCAAGCTAAAATTTTCTGTTTGAATTTATGCTCAACACAACACTAATGAAGAATAATGCCTTCAGGTTAGCTCCATTTGCTCTCAGGCACCCTTGATGCTCACAAAGTAGCCTTCAACATACCTGAGAATTGCATCCACCAGCAGCACTGTGGCGTTTTGTGAGTCTTCCCACTTCATCATCCCAGTCCCAGTCTTCATCTTCCTCTTCATCATCATCATCACTATCTCCTTCCTCAGTGTTAAATTCTTGGCATATGCGTGACTGGCAGTTGGTGACCTCACTTTCTTCAGCTATTTCTGTTTCTTGTGTAAATTCACTTTAAACAAATACAGATGTTGGTATAAGTACAAGTGATTGTTACAGTCATCAGGATTTCAATACACTTATCTCAAGAGATGATTTCACAAGGTTAGCTCTCCATGAGATGTTTTTCACTTCACCTGTCTAAAAGCAAGCATATGAGGATGTCACTGCCTTTAAAGGCTAGACTACATTTAAATTATCTTCTTCACCACCGCACTGCTGCCTTCTTAAGTTGTTCTGCAGTTACACGTATTTAGGTCCCTCTGATTCCAATCAGACAACATGTTAGATCAGACCATCTGGCTCCTTCATCAGAGACGAACCACTCTGCTTGCTGCCACAGCAGATCACCATCTGACAAAATATCACACAAAAGTCCCCCAGAGACAGACAGCCAACCTGCTGGTAAATCAGGACACCAGCACAACGTAAATAAAAAAAACCAGTTAGACCTAAATAAGAATCTGTGGGAAAAATTAACCATTTTGACTTACTCATGCCTTAGCATAGTACATCACTTTTCTTCTGCCAGAACAAGTATATTCTAAAGCAGACTCTCTGCTGGTATGTGACATTAAGTGAATCATAAACTGGAAAGAAAACGACTTGCACCCATAACACAGACCATTCCTTATTCACTCCCTGCTAAATACTAAAAGCTCTAGGCTTTCAGTTCAACAGAAAATGCGCTTTAATTCCAAAAATAATCAAACCGATCTGCTATCCTCAGCACCTCACTGTTCTCTTATACTGCTTCCCATGCTCAGTTACGATCAAATACTACCAAAGTGAGATCGCCTCTCCTACCCCGAGCCTGCAGGTGTGTCTGCCCATTTTAGAGGTGAAGCACAAATTACAAGAAACTGAGAAAGCGAGCTGAGAGCGCACACGCAGCCTCTCCTCACACATGCTCCCAGCCCTCGGGTAACACACCCACCCCCTCCGCCGGGCCTCCTGCCCTGCCGCCCGGCCGCTAAGCTCTCTCTTAGCCGGCCACGCCTGGGAAAAGAGGCACCCGAACAGCCCCTCTCACCGGCGGCTCCAACAGGGCCTGCCGGAACCGCTCGGGACACGCTACCCAAGCCCGTACGACCTCGTCCCCCCTCCTCAAGGGGCCATCACCCAGCCCTCCTCCACTTCCTCCTACCCGTCGGAGCATTCTGCATCATCAAACTGGCCGGGCACGGCCTGGCTCATGGCTAACGCCCGGTAATCCATGGCGATGGCGGCGGCAAGCCCCGCGGTACTCCTACGGCGCGGGCAGAGGGACGGAAAGCACAGAGCACGAGCGAAGGCCCGCAAGTGAGGCGGGACCAACCCGCCCGCTCCTCAGGTTCCGGCACGCGGATTGGCTGCGAACGCCTGACGTCAGAAGCCTTAAAAGGCCTTGGAGCCCACCTCTGGGCTGTAAAAGGGCATTTGCGCCACAGGTTCATAGGGGGCTACCCCAAAACATGAGTGACCATTTACAGCCTTCCAACATCGGGGGGGGGGGGGGGGGGGGCCTACAAGGATGCCGGAGACTGACTATTCGTCAGGGGCTGCAGTGATTGGACACGGGACAAGGGGTTCAAACTTAAACACCGAAAGTTCAGGTTAGACACAAGGAAGAAGTTCTTTACTGTGACAGTGGTGAGACAATGGAACAGGTTTCTCAAAGAAGTAGTAAACACTCCATCCCTGGCACTGTTCAAGGCCACGTTGGAAGGGGCTTTGAACAACTTGGTCTAGTGGAACCAAGTTCCTTCAGGAGAGTTAGAACTAAATGATTTTTAAGGTCCCTTCCAACCCAAACCATTCTAACTGGATGTTTATGCAATTTGGAGCTCAGCAATTTCTGTATTTTTAGGTGTATATGCATTCACCATGAGAGGGATTTCAACTGCCATGCACTAAGATGGGTTACAATAACATTTTATCTATCAATATAGATAAAATACATAAGTCGTGGAGTAAATACTGAAGAGGCAGTCACACAGATTCTTCAACAGAAGTATTAATGCAGAAACAGTCTCTCCCTTATGTACATAAACCATTATTTGCCTTCTGATGACATCTTTGAAGAAGCACCGCTAGGAGAACCATTTAGTAAGCTCAAAGTAGAAACTGGAAACATGAGGTAAACTTTATTTATAGTCCACTGGCTTGAAGAATGCTCCACCTTTTTGTTAAACATGTTAAGAAATTGAAGGCATTTTCCCCCAATAGTTTTGCCTGTAATTTCTAACTGAAAAATTTTAAAATGCAAGGATACAATGCTTGTACATAACTGCGACCACACACAGAATTCCTGTGGCATTGACTTAAGAGATGTCAAACCTAACAGTTGCAATAACGGCCATGATATTCCATACTTATTTTGTTAAGTCTGTGAATACATACACAGAGCAGTCTGTGCAAGCAGCAGCTTACTTCAGTTTTCACAGTGTCTTTCAGATTGCAAGTTGTTTAATATGGGTAGAGTACTTAGCACAAAACAACTGCAACCTAGTAGTGTTTAAGGCACAGCTTTAATACTGCAGTCTGGGCTAAGTGTTTTACTAAAGCTAGGCAAGGTATCTCAATTATTTTCACAAGCACTTTTAATTAACACCTTTCTGTGCCCCCACCACACTGGTTAGTTAGTTAACACCAGGAACAGCTCACCCAGGTGGAAAAGCAGCACACAAAGTACATACTCACCACTTAAAAGACACAGAACATTCTGGATTCTACAGTTTTTCTAAATGGAAAAACTTCTATAGCATCCTAGTGTTCTTTCACTTCCCCCAAGAAAAAATATTTGCTTGCCTGCCTGCAAGAAAAAAATAAATCCCCAAACCATCAACCAACCAAAACAACCCTTAAACAAAAACCACATTAAAAAAAACCACAAAACAAGCAGACTATGACTAGGTTAAGCCAAATATGTTTGGCCAAAGATTAATAAGTTAAACAAATTTGAAGACCTTTGCAGGAAAGGTAGTATTATACCATTGGGTGGGTATTACCTGACTAGGAATACTTTTCTCAGTAGCAGTGGGTGTTCTCCAGCTTTCATAATCATGCTTCATTGTCAGTCAATATTTAACAGCGTTTCAGCTATTATTTTCAGCACATTAAAAACGTGATTAAGATAAAACTTAGCTAGAAAGGTAGACTTCTGTGTGTGTGTAATTTTCAGGTTCAAAATCAAACGAAAATAATGTGAAAAATGAAAGACTCAAGACTGAGTTATTATTGCCATTACAGCAAGCTGCATGTGCAGAAATGACCAGTTGACGTTACTTCAAAATACGGGATGTGACATAACAAGACTCAGGTTTCATTGTACACTGTATACAAACTGCTGAATTAACCATGGGAAAAAAGAGAAAGCTTGGGGCCTAGTTTTGTTTTGTTTTGTTTTTTTTTTCACTCAATGTCTCTAGCGTAGGATTTGGGAAAGCTTTGCATCTCAAAACACCTTGTTTTGTGGAATGGCTTAGGTTGCAAGGGGCCTTAAAGATCGTATAGTTCCAACCAACCCTCCTGCCATGGGCAGAGACACCTACCCACTAGGCCAGGTTGCTCAAAGTCCCATCCAACCTGGCCCTGAGCGCTACCAGGGCTGAGGCAGCCACTTCTATGGGCAGTCTGTGCTAATGCCTCACCACCCTCACAGTAAAGCACTTCTCCTTAATACCTAATCTAAATCTACTCTCTTTCAGTTTCATCTAACAAAAAATCATTTCCATGTAACATATGAGCCACTGAGGAGGAGGTAGTATATGACTTAAATATACACTGCCTAACACACTTTGGGAAACTTTTCCAATTAAACCATCAAATATATGACTGAAAACCAATTATTCAAAAGCAATGCAGAAGTGCAAGATGTTAACAGCACCTCTGCTTCAGTAATACACTTTACCCCTGCTCCTTCCAGAGGAATGTTAGCATACTGTGAAGAAAACAACCAACCAATCACCCAACAAATCCCAACCACAAACCCCTCACACCTTGTCTCCTGAATTTTATTTCTCCCCTCGCAGCACACTAGCAAACGCAAACCCAACTGCCATACCCTGCACTAAACGCAACCTAAGCTGAACGCACAGCCTCTCATCCCGCTAAGTGCCCTCCCTCTCCAACTCATCCACCTGCGGTGGTTCCGACAGGCAGCCCTCCACACAGGGGCACACAAACTGCCGCGTTACCCTTCGGGGGAGCAGCCTCAGGGGATGCCCCGGGCACCGAGAATTTCCTCCGGCGGGAACTCCACAGCCCCAGCACGACCTGCCGGACACTGAGGACTATCACCAGGTCTTCCCTAACAGTGCCTACATCCCAGACCCGTGCACCCTGCCGCCTTTCCCCACACACTAGCCTCCGGCCCGCACCACCGCTAAGGCAGTGCCACACTGCGCATGCACACTACCTGATGGAGATAGATCCTCATCTCCCTCCCGCCCCCTTTTAGCCCGACCTGGAAACGGAAGCTGCTGCGCATGCGCGGGGCGGGGCCGGCGGAGGGGAGACGTGTGTTAAGCTCACGTGACCGTCCTGCCTCCTTCCCCGGCGGAGCCACGTCCGCTGTGGCGCTGAGGGGCGGGGCGGGGGTGCGGGCACGGTGGGAGCGGGCCCGGATGGAGGCTGCCGACGCCGCCATTTAGATCGCCCGCAGCGGTAGGCGCCTGGCTGGTACGGGGTGTCGGGCAGTTGTTGCTGCTGCCGCCGCAGTCACCATGAGGCGCCTGTCACAGCTGCTGTTGCTCGCCCTGCTCGCCTTCCCCGCCGCCTTGCTGCTCGGGGGCGCGCGCGGCGGCCCAGGTAAGGGGGGACCCGGTGAGAGAAGGCGAGCGGGCGTTGAGCAGTGGGGCTCTCTTGGGGGTGGCGGGGAGAGGAAGCCGGGGTTTCTCCCACCGCGCCTGGGGAGCCCAGTGCCACCTTCGTGATCCGATTGGAAGGAGGAGGTGGCGGTGGGCGCTGCTCATTCAATCGCCGCCGTTCGCGGTCGGTAGTGGCGTGGCTTCTCGCCCCCGCGCACGTGGGCCGCCGCTGGGGCTGTCCTTCTCGGGCCGGGTTCTGCCACTGTGGAGTCATGTCTGTTCCCTCCGGGCGTGCGGGCTTCTCCGGCACGGCGAACCGCGAGTCACGGTGTCAGACTCGGTGCTGCCAGTGCCCGGGGCGCCGGGCTCGGGCCCACCCGTGAAATCGGCCTCGGGAAGCCACGTGGGCGCGGCTGCCCCGCTTAAAGCCTATTCGGGGATGTAGCAACTGGTCTGTGTCTGTCTTGGCTCTCGGTCCCAGGCGGTGCTGCTCTCTGCGGTGAACGGGTAGCAGATGCGCGGGCTGCCAGCCTGCCTGCCCACCTCTCCTCCCTTCGCCCCCCGAGCGTCCTTCAAATGGACGAGTACTAATCTCTGTTTACGCTGTCGTGTTATCTGATTCACGGTCTGAAAGTCGCCTCCCTGCTACTAAATCTGGAGAGGAGGCAGCGCAGCTATCTCGCCCTGCGCTTCCAGTGGGCTGCAGCACACCCACCCTATGCGTTAGTTCCTTCCCACCGCGGGCAGCTCTCTTTTCCCGCTATTGCCACATCATCAGCCCTTCTGACAGCCATTGAAAGACTGTAAATTAGGGGGCTGAGAGAATGTGCTAGCACAGTTTCTTCTGAAGAATGCCTGTTACTTGCCTACACGCTGTTCAGGTACAAGGGTCTTAATAAAAAGTTTGTAAAAATCTGCATTTGTAGACTATCAAGCTTAAAACGTGGTCAAATAAAATTGCAGTACGTACTCTTAGGTTAAATATTGCACGTGGTCGAGCAAAAGTCTTTGAGTGTACCTTCTAAGGGCACTTCAGAGCAGAGATTGTATTTGCTTTTTCTACCTCTCACTGACAATTCTGAAGTCCTTGTGTAGATATGTCCTGCTCAAGGATTTTTATTCCCCTTAAAAGTTATTAAGTATTTATTTTAAACGTTTACTCATAGCAATTAATTCGTTTTCAGGCTTGTGTAACTCAAACATCTGTTCATTTCTACTCTTTCATTTTTGGAAAACGTTAGGGTTATTAAAACAAAAATATGTAGGGGTTTTTTGTATGTTAAAAGTTCTCAGCCTAGCTTGCATGTGCTCTAAACTGGAGACAGAACTTTGTCTGCCAATATTTACATTAGTCATAGCCACCCAGTGTTTGAATATGTGAGACTCTGCTCCATAAAAGCAAAGAAGTATTGAACAGCAAGATTGCACTTGTCTTGGAGCTGTGCTCTGGAGCCATGCTCTAGATCAGGTTTCTTTTCAGACTAGTGTTACGGTTCTGTTGAACATGTGGATATAGTAGTTAATGATATTGATGAGACCATATAAATAAAAGACTTCTTTATGTTTTAAAACTTCAGTTAAAATAAGTGCAAAAATAATAACTCTAAGAACCTGTGGAAGTGTAGGCTTCTGATACTAACAGATGGAAAGGGGACATACTAATTATTGAACTTACTAGTCTTAAAAGAAACAGTACTTATTAATTTTCTGTCAATAGCAGTATCTTTTTTTGCATTGGTAATGGCACAACAAAATCTTTTCATGCATTGGTGTGTTCAGAAATTAAACAGTAGCTTTTAAGACAAGTCATTTGCCTTCTGTGAATGTATGTGTTGCTGTGTGATGCTGAACTTTTCTTTATCCAGCTGTAAAGTTTTTGGTTTTGAACTTAATGGCACATAAATAGGTAGTTCAGAAAGTTGTTAGAGAAGGAAAAAGGCTAAAATATGCACACAGGTGATCATTTGAATGTGATGTTTTTGCAGCTGAGGCTTCAAAATGCTGTATTTGACAGATTTTGAAGAAATTCTTCAAAAATCAGGTTGGAAATGTGTTATGTCAGTTTTCTGTTGATTAACTAGACATTGATAAGGCTTTCTTGTATTTGCATTTTGTTTTGGTAGGTTCAGGTTTATTAGTTGCAGCTCAAGATGCCACAGAAGATGAGGAAGCTGTGGAAGATACTGTAGTTGAAGATGAAGATGATGAAGCTGAAGTTGAAGAAGATGAGCCAACAGACTTGGTAATTGTACATAAATGCTACTTCATTAGTCTGAATTAGACTAAAAGTGCTTGAAGCTAGATATTTTAGGTATATTTAAATGTGAGTTAAATAGCACTGTTATTTCCACATATCTGTTTCCAAGTCTCCAATCAAACTCATGTTCAGTTTGAAGTTTCAGAAGGATTTATCTTTCCTTCCTGAATTACCACGTGAAAAAACACGTGGGGACAGCCCAGTTTTTGACTACCAAAGCTGCAGCTCACACAAAAGGAACACCAAGTGAGAGAACCAGGTTCTCCTAGAAGCCTTTTGTATTTGTTTTTCAGCTTAAGCTGTGTCTCAGTAAGCTGAAAAGGACATTGGGGTATAAGACTACTTCATTCTGGCCTATTTCATATTGATTGTCAAGGAGCAACAGAATCTTACTACTTAGTTAACCTCAATATTAATTCTGAAAACCTGGTTTTGCAGTCCATTTTCACTTGCTACTTTCCCAGTCTCTGACACTTGTTGACTGTGTGCCTGTTGTGCCAGTGGCCATACTGCTGTATAGGGTCACTTAGTTCAGCTTGAACATCTAGATTCTATTCTTTTCTTTCCACCCCCAAACAGATATTACTGTTGATTTCTGATTACAAACATTTCAATACAGCTAAATGCAGTTCTGATTAGTCACTGTGTCGAATACAAATAGAAGTATAAATGTTGAAAACGATGCTGATTGAACGTAGAGGGAGAAAAGACTGTGTGCTAATCCAGCAACAGCAGGAATCGATACTAATGCTTGCCATGGTTGCATGTTTTGATACGTGGGATTCTCATGAAACAAGTGTGGTCTTTGCTTCACTGTTCATTATAGGATTTTTTCAAAAAAGTCTCTTGTCTTAGACAGAAGAAAAAGAGGAAGAAGACTTGTCAGGAGAACCTAAAGCCTCACCTAACGCTGATACAACCATCTTGTTTGTGAAAGGTGAAGGTAAGAGGCCTGTGCTAATGTACCACCTTCACTGTTGCTTAGGCTGCATTAACCCATGCATAAAAATTAAAAACCCATTAAAAAAAAAAGGCAGTATCTGTTTTAGACACTGTTTAGGAGCAGTTCTGGTGTATGAAGTTTCTAACAGTTGAGTATCTTTTATGTTTTAGACTTCCCAGCGAACAACATCGTAAAATTTCTGGTGGGCTTCACCAATAAGGGTACAGAAGATTTTATTGTTGAGTCTCTAGATGCTTCTTTCCGGTATCCTCAAGACTACCAGTTTTATATCCAGAACTTCACAGCTCTCCCTCTGAATACAGTAGTTCCGCCACAGAGACAAGCCACTTTTGAGTACTCTTTCATCCCTGCTGAGCCTATGGGTGGTCGTCCTTTCGGACTGGTTATCAATCTCAACTACAGAGATGTAAATGTAAGCCTGATGTTACAATTAAGATGTAAATGTAAGCCTGATGTTGCAATTAATTTTAATCTTTCTAGTTGATGTGGAAATGTCAGGAAGGAACTGCTGCTTAGTCAAGTTACTAACTCTTCAAAAAGATACCGCCTTGTGTTTTTTAAGCAAATCAGAAGATACGCAAGCACAGTAAGGGACTGTCTACATATTTCACAACATCCCCCCATGTACGCTTGGTTCTGTATATTACCAGCCTGAATCCCATCTGTATATTTGACTTTGAGCAAATAAAAGACCAGTAGTTGCAACCTAGGGGAAGACTATGCAAAAGCATAAATGGGGATTAAAATGTGGGATTCTTTTTTACTGCAGGTCAAAGCTTAACGGTACCTTCTGTACCTTTGTGTTTTGATTGCTCTAGTAAAACCCCTTCATACGGAGTATCTTGCGTTATAGGAAATGACATATTGAAGGCTGGATGTGACTTTCTTGCTAATACCAAGTCTGCTCTTTGTCTTGCACCAAAATGTTTGCACTTCTCTGTGTTGAGTCAGACCTGCACTGCTTATAAACTTAAGTCTGGTGCAGCAGTTACTACTTTGTAAAGTTTTTCCAGGAACATGGAAAGGGACAAACATTTGTGTATGTGTTCAAGAAATGAATTTAAAATGTTATATGGAATCTTTTTTTATAGGGCAATGTGTTTCAAGATGCTGTCTTCAATCAAACTGTCACAATAATTGAAAAAGAAGATGGACTGGATGGAGAAACGTAAGGAGGCTGGGGATTCAAGTTTATTTGGTATACTGATAGAAGAGGTTATTGATGGTGCCAGAGAGAATAGTTCTTATATCCTAATTTTATTGAATGTTAGGTCTGCTGTGTTTTGCTGATGGTGTAGCAGGCATTTGATTTGTACAACAGTGGACTGAAAATACAAACTTTTCCCCCCAAATTAAGTACTGTATTAGTAACTAGGGATCTTCATAATTGGTACTATGTCATTGAGCAGTTTACACATCTGCTTTGTCTCACAGAGCTTAAGCCTGGAATGCAGAATTTATGTCCAACTCTTGTATTTCAGGTAAAATTGCTCAAAACAAACTAAAATGCACAGACTTAAAAATGATTGCATAGTTAGAATTCTAACTGTGAACACAGAGCCAGATAATCAAGGCCTTTTAAAGCTCTGCTGCCAATAAATTGGTATCCTAGCAGTATCTGATTTGCAGGAGTGTACTAAAAGCATAGAAAAGATTTTTAAGGCTTTTGTAAGGGGTTAAAGCTGTCACAAACAAATACTACCTTTTACCTAAGATCTTGAGACATGATACTGCAAAAGAGGTCTTAGCAATTACCAGATTTCAGTAACTATAAGTTTCCCAGTTTATTCAGCATTTTTCAGGTGTTGTGTTATTCAGAATTAAATCTAGGATTACAGTTCCTGAAATAGAAGTTAGAGTAATTAATATTTGTTAGGAATTCAGTTTCAGAATTTTTTTCCCCACCTGCCCCATATGAAAGTTCTTGGGAAAGATCAAGTGGGTATGGGGGCAAAGCTCAGCTTAGTTTCTATGCCTCTCTTATTCTCTCACTTAAGATTTTTAGTTAATGGTTTCTTAAACTGTTTTCTTGTGGTGTTGTGTTTGTTTTTTTTTAAAGGATCTTCATGTACATGTTCCTTGCTGGACTTGGTCTACTTGTCATTGTTGGCCTGCATCAGTTACTAGAATCTAGGAAGGTGGGTAGTGTATTTTGTCTGTGTAATTGTTCTTACGAGACCTGACTGATACAAAAAGAAGGTAATTCAGTAATTGCTTCTGGCATACAACGGTACAGGTAAAACTTTAGAAGCTTTACAGTTGCAACTATGACCTTATAGATGACTGGGAAAACCAGAGAGTTTTTAAAAGATGTTCATAACTAGAGACATTTAGATTGCTTATCTAATGCTCTCTGAGTCTGCTCTTTGGCATCACACTGAAGTGGTTGAGCCAGACTTTTGATACTGTCCAGCCACTGTCTTGTGTGCAGCTGTTCTTTCAATACTTACTGGCTAGACTTTCCCCATGCTCTCTATTTCTATCTATTAGTTTAGTCTGGGTAAAACTTAGCTGTTTTCTCCAGTCTAGTGCTTTATTTGGTTCTTATTTATGCTTTGCTATAATGTTGATTAGGGCCTTCTGGATTCCATTTATAAATGCTGTTAACAACTAAAGGTTTGTTTATGTAAGTGGTCTGGCACGTAAAAGTCATTGAAAGGTTAAGTGTCAATCTACATTCAGTGCATAGGTTATGTCTTTTTGCAGTCTGATCTATGATACTTTTGAAGTTTCCCTTGTGAAGAAATATGGAGTAATTACTGTGCTTTGAAATCTATTTTGCAAGGTGACATGTGAGAATATTGTTCCAATCTGAGAAGGTATAACAGAACTGGTCATCACATTTTGATTAATTATCAGCCATTTTTTCTAACAGGTATGATGAACTTCCCCAGGCATGCATGAAATCTTGATATCTTTATGCAGAATAAGTATTGCAACTCCTTAAAAGGGGTAATGTCAGGCTTAGGTGAATAAACTGCTAGTGGTGAAGATAGTTAAAGCTAAGCTACAAACACAGCTTCATACATTGACTAGCTGTAAGTTTGTGTCTTAGTGAAATAACTGCAACTGACTAAATATAGCATTATGTGTTATTTCTAATACTTGTGCTACCAACACTTTGTGGAAAGAAAATCTTGCTTCTTTCTTGAATTTTCAGAGGAAAAGACCAGTACAGAAAGTAGAAATGGGAACATCAAATCAGAACGATGTTGATATGAGCTGGATTCCCCAAGAAACTTTAAATCAAATAAGTAAGTAGCCTGCCTTCCACAAACCAGAGCAAAACAAACTTCTGTAATCAATTAGTTGTAATTGAATAAGTAGCTGATACCAATTTCTCAGAGCAGCATACCTCTCTCCTAGGGCATAAAATTGTCTAAAGTGCTGTGCTTAATGATTGTAGACTATATTAGCAGCCTATTTTTTATAGAACAAACTTCACTGGTTGATACAATAATGACTATCAGTTACTTTAACAATTTGTTCTATAGACTCTTTTTCAACAGTATAAAATCTTTACCCAAAATCTGGATCACAAAGGATGTTTAAGTAGGAAAAACTATCTGTCATCTCAAAATTTCTGTAAGTTGCGTGGAAGCATGCCTCTAGACCAGCGTTTTAAATAAGCATTAGAAGTGTGTATTAGCTAAAGCTACATGAAGACTTGATGTTAATGTCCTTCACAAGTCCAAAATGACTTGAGTTCCACTTGATACCTGAAATGTCAACAGTAAACCCAGTATCTGATTTCTTTAGCCCATTTGTGTGTTTGTGGGTATTTCTAACTTCTCTTGCTGTTTCTTCTGTTTTGCTTTCCTATGGCTTCAGTGCAGAGTAGAAGAGGTGAGGCAAACTGGTGATCTAAAGTGTGGAAGTGCTTAATGTGTTGTCCATGTGATAAGAAGGCATGGATAGGAGTACAACAGCTTCCTGCATGCAGTGATTGGTGATGCAGCATGAACAGTAAAAGATTACAGAACAGATGCATGCAACCACACAAACAAGTTTTATATACATATAAATTATGTTTTCTTATATTATAAAAATGCATATGTATTATTTCTGGTTATATTGTAGTAACATAGTTTCAGTAGAATATTGCTGAAGTACTCTTGTCTCCTCTTAGCAGTTCCCAGCACCCTTCATCTAAAATGCGGATGTATATCTTGCCTGCCCTGCTACTTTAGTGTAGTGTCAGGCTGATGTTACATGAGGGAGGTGGAGTACTGATCATGACCAATGGCTGAGCAAATCTTGTCACAGTGAGAAACAAACTTGAGCCTTTGGTATTATAGTTTAATAGTGAGGCTTAACTTCTTGGTGTTTCTTATCCCAGGTGAATTCATATTACCAGTAGCATAGCCTCTCTTAGAGCACATCCTAGACAAAGAGAAGTGCTTTGAAAACCCTTTGCAGGAGCTACCTTTACTTGAAAAAGACCACCATTTTGATGAAATGAGCATATTTTGATCTTTATTCAGTGTAGAAGGGCTAGAGACCTTAGCTCTGATATGAAGTTGTGCCAGGAGTTGATGACTTCACTTTCTGATTCCTTCACCCTTCTTAACTGCACTTACAGGTATAATAAGGACTGTACTTATAAGTGTTTTACTTCAGAAAATGTAAACTTTCTTGTACACTCTCTTCTGTGAGACACGAGAATGAGAGTATAAAATCTAGACACAGTAATTTGAAAAGCCTCAATCGGGCAAGGAAGACGGAAGCTCTAAATGCCTCTTTTTAGGTTTTTTGGTTGTTTTTTTTTTTCTTTCAAAGACCAAACTGTCTTTAAATGGGCTCAAATCCTGGCATGTTTTGGTACTCTCTCCATCCCTTTCTTAAGATGAATAGGTATTCAGATCTTAATAACTGAAGTTGATTAAAACCTGTGAGGGTTTTCTAGCTCCGGGTTAGTTTTAATTGGAACTCTGCACTACAGTCCTTTGAAATACATGGCCGTCAAGATCCTCAGAGGTTCTTAACTATTTCATTCTTGAAAGGCTCTTCATAGTGTACGATTGGTTTGTAATGACAAGCTCCTTGTCTTCACACATACTCAAAACAGGGAAATTACTGGAGATGGTTTTATTGAAGAAAATGTGCATTTTTAAGTGAACAGATGCACTTAGCAATTGTTTTAGCACTTCATACAAAGTATTGTAGCTTCTCTACAATATTACAAGGACTGAAATTCTAAGGACCGTTATTGTAAAGGACAGCTGTAGGCCTGTCATAGTCTTGATGATGTTTCTGGCATCCAGTGATCATACAGCTAAAGCTGGGTGGCTTCCCCATAAGGGATAACTGATCACAAAGTGACACCTTCATAGTTAAATGTGGGTGCTTCCTGAAAGTATGTTTTTTTCACAATCTTTCGCTGTTAAGCTATATGAACATGGCAGTACTTCATGAAAAACAAAGATGTCTAAGGGAGGGTCAGTCACATTCTTCAGGCAGACAAAGGAAACCAGTATTGATCAAAATAATTCATTAACTTTATGAAAGTGTAATTATTAAATGTGATGCTTTTCTGAACAGCACAGCATGCTGTTTCATCAGGAAATGGTGGCGGAGTTGTTTTGGTTTCTGTTATGTTGGATGTTTTGGTTTTTTGCATTTTAGTAACTGGCAAATTGAACGACCTTTGCCTTGGAGCTGCATGTGACAGAATAGGAACATTATTTTTTGCTACCTTCTATTTAGTATGCTAATGATTTAGTAGTTAAAAAGCCTTAACAAGCTGTTGGAAGTGGCTTCTCTGTGGTGGTACATTGCACTAGGGGGGAGCTTGGCTTCTGTTAGGGAGGGAGAAAAGTACGTGGTCATATATCTAATCTGAAGTAACTGCAGTAGCTGATAGAACTATCTTTTTTTTTTTTTTCTAGATAAAGCTTCACCAAGGAGGTTGCCCTACAAGAGAGCACAGAAGAGATCAGTGGGCTCTGATGAGTAAATGTTAATTAGTACAACAGTTGAGCCTTTACTAATCCTGCCTGTTTGGGTTTTTTGGATTGGAGTAGTGCAGAGAATCCATACCACCATAAGGAAAATACTGCTAAACTTTTGGACTGAACAGATTAACTGAACGTGTTAATATTACTGAAAATGCACTTCTCTGGTTTTGGGGGTTTTTTGTTTGTTTTTGTTTTGTTTGTTTGGTTTGTTTTTTGTTTTGTTTTTGATTGTTGGGGGGATGGAAGGGGGTGGTAGCCATTAAGATTTATGCCTGCGTATGTAAGGAGTTGGTCTTAACAGAACTATGTTACCTGAAATGTGCCTTTAGAGTTCTTTGTAATGCTGGCTTGTCATCTGTACACTGTCTTGGAAGGGTTTTTCTCCTCCCCTTAATCTGAATGTCTAGTGACTTAATCGGTTTTGATTGTGTCATGTCTATATCAAAAACTGTGTGCATTTTTTTCAGTAAGTATCTTACTCTCTCCAGTGTGCACACACTGAAGTTTGTGTGTGTGGTCCTACTTCAGTGTTGAGGTACTGATCATCTAGGATTCTGCATAGTTTGCATTCTAAAGGCACAATTGGGTGTAACTGCTTGTAGTGGTAGATATTTTGCTGCTGGCTTGATCTGGGCATGCAGTGACCTAAAGATCTGAACTTGCCTGCATAATCTTAGGAATACTCTTACACAGCAGCAGAACTTGTGAAGCATGGAATTTGTGTGCTGAATTGGTATCAATACATAAATTTTTTTATACCCAACTTGTTAAATGTTAGTTATTGAGTTGTGCCAGCATATTAGGTATTCCTGTTATAGTGGTAGCTCTGCAATGTTTACTCAAGAAATTACTGAATAAGCCACAACAACTTTTCAGTAAGTTCTTGGTTCTCTTACAAAATCTAGAATGTCGTATGTATCAAAATGTGGACTTTTCTTAGAGCTTTACATGGGGAAAGGACTTTGCATTTTCTGTGCCCACTTGAAACTGAATTTGAAAAACTGTTGGCTTCAAATAACCTTTTTAAATGCAAACTATTTAATTCACCCTTTGCAGTTCTTGAATCTCAAAACTTTTTTCCACTGGTCAGTACATTGATCAGAGTTATTTTACCACCTTTCCTGCTAGTAACACAGATGCATACCCATTGTTAACTACCTGTTAGTTCAGTACTAAAGCAGAAAAGCTATATGCAGGCAAAATGGGATTTTCTTTTGCAGCAGGCACAGATGTGATTGCCAGGTGTTGATCCACATCTACTGCATTCAGGAACTTAACTGATAGTAAAAATCAGATAATGCAGAGCTGTCAGTTGCCATTCAGGCACTTGGACAAGGCTCCAGTTGTTGCATTCTCAGCTGTATCTCTTCCTGGGTCTGAAGTTGTCTGGAAGGTTATTGAGTTCAGGAAGAGGCATTGATCTGAGACTTCTGTTTTCTTCTTTTTCTCCCCTTCCTGATCCCCGTATGTGAAAGCTCCTTTTTAGATCTAAATTTGCTCTGTAGGGACTGAGCTGCTGAGTCAGTGAATGCTGAGCAATACTTCCAGATCACATCATAGCAATTTTGATGCATCTGAGCTCTGAAACGAGTATCTCTACTGGCACTATCTTACTATATACTTTTTCAGAATGAACTGTGAAGATGTTCTTGACTTATCTTGCTATGGAACAGATTAAAAATAGGAAAAGCAACCCCAAAAGTGCTTCAGCTTCCTGATAGTATACCAGGCAGAGTATTTTTAATAGCTAAGATTGTTGAATTGTCATACAGATTGTTTAGCAAACAGTTGCATGCTACCTTCATAAGGGGTATCTCCACTCAGATTGTGTGGAACAACTTTGTTTGCCATTAGTGATGTAATCTGACTGGTCCTGTGGTAGGTTTATGGATTTATATTTCACTTTGCATTGATTCCACAAAGTGTTTCGTACTACATGCATTGTATACTAAAGCCCTATAGCTATTGCAGTACCTGATGTACTGAACTAAATTCCTGCTCTTGGATTATGTCTCTAACCTGAAATCAACATTTTTTTTTTTTTAATCTTCTTTTAATGGATAGTCTGAAACTGTATACTGTAATTCTTCCCAAGAGAGGAAAAGTACTGTTTAGAGAGGGTGATGATAAAAGTTACTCCAGGAAAAATGACAAAGGATCAGAACAGAGGGTATTAATTTGTAATATCCTAGTTTTATTTCTTCAGATGAATAGTTTAGTCCTTAGAGATTCAGTTCTGGAGCAAGTTAGGCCTTCAGAAATCTTACAGTGGCCAGGATTTAAGAGAAACTGAAGGACTGAAGCACTGTACAAGTAAGAAATAAGTATTTGAAGGTTTTGGCTTTCTTCTCTGTACTCAGTTAACATCCAAATGCTTAAGTTCCAAGTGTGAAAGAAGAGAGTACATAGCTTAGCAACTCACATAGGAACTAGCAATAGGAAAGTCCAGCTGTACCAAAACTGTCTTTCTGATCATACTACTTGGCATTCACTGTGGAGGGTTCATAGTAACTTTCTCAGCCAGTGCAGTTCATGGGAAGAGTGGTCAGCAGTCCACTACTGCTCATGATAAATGAAGTAACAGTTCTGAATTCCTTCTTTCTTGCTCGTTTGCTGTAGCTGAAATTTAGCAATAACATTGTGTACAGTGGTATTTGAACTTTGGCATCTCTTACATTATTTCTAGTAAATAAGACATTCTGCTACACTTGGATTTCTTCAAATGGGAGAGCACAGTTGTTGCTTTATCCTGTTGGTTAACAATTTTTATTTTGGTACTTGAATTTTCTACTCAATTTTTAAACACATACTGATAGCTTAGTGTCAGATATGTTACTAGATATCATTATCAGCTGAGTAGGGTACAGTTTCATTGACTTTAAGATGGAAAATTAACAGTTCTGCCTTTCTCTGTGCCACCCCTTCCCATGTGGCAGCACAAGCATTTGTATAATCCAGCGTTCTTAGCAGCCTAGTTTTCAGGAAGCTTGCTACACTACCACACAACTGCTCATGTTAGGTAATGAGAAGAGGAACAATGACTATGAAAGAAGATGTGTGCTAAGGTTTCTTCCGTATTAGTAAGAGATGATGAAATAAGTTTTAGACCACAAATAAACTGTGGCCTTAGTGTGAAGGATCAGTGTTCATTCCTTTCACAGCTCCTTAGCCAATACAAAAAAACTGTAGAGACTTAATGAGTCTATATTTGGGGTAAGAAATGGCTTTAGAGTTCATGTCTACCATGGTAGCAAATCATTAGCTATACTTGAACAACATTTGATACTTGTAGTCCTCTGTATGCTGCCTGCTGTGTGACAGCAGTTCATTTTTTCCCTGTACCATTTAATCTGAGAAAGAAGAGTGGCTGCTGTCAGACTAAAGGATGAAGTATCATCTTACTCTTCATGTAGAAAATAATTCAGTTGTAGGCCATGGAGACAAATGGAGCCGATTCAATGGCAGTGCTTCTGCTTATTTCAGACACTTAATGATGAACATCTTCCTTACCTTGGAATGGATATAATTAAAAGCATCTTTGACTTTATTCCTCGAATGCATGGTGCTAAACCAGTTGTTGTGGTTGAAAGCTCTGAATTCAGGGAAGCAGCAGGAAAGTCAAGTACTCGCATAGGCTGGTTGTCCTGTTTTTCAGTGTGCCTGATGTGCTGAGGAGCAGTTAAGAGTCTGTTCTCTTTCTTTCTTCAAAGGAAAGACAGTACCTACCTCATAGGAGTGACACAAGGACTGTTCAGGAGCGTTTTGATGTTACTTGAGACTTGCACAATACACATCCATGGTGAGAGTAAGAAAGACATAGTACTAGTGTAGCTTGATGGTAATTACATAGATTCATGTTATACCAGTTTAATCCCCTCACTGAACAGAATTCAGCAGCTTTATGCCAGGACTTTTCTTAAACAGAGGAATTGCAGTTCCAGAGGAGAGCAAGGCCAGAAAGATCTCAGTTTCTGCAAGAGTTTATAGGTGGGCTAAATAACAGTCTTTTGACATTTTTCCATTTATCTTTCAGTTTTCCCAGGGATTCTTTTTAATCAAGTGGTATTTATATCATTTATGATTGTTTGTGTTGATACAATCAACAGTCAGTTTGACTCTTTTGGATGATTAAGTTCAGATGATGTACTGCAGCTGAAGTGTTAACGTTTACTTTCTTACCTGCTGACTCATGTTTATAAGTGAGATCAGATCTCTTGGGGGGTAAAAAAAAAACGACTGCAGGTTTTTTTTTGTAAAGTAAACTTGATTTTCTCCTTTTTTTTTAGCATTGTGTAGGGGTGTTTTTTTGGTTTTTTTTTTTTTTTTTTTTTTTTTAATAAAGCATGAGAATGGCACCAAAAAGCCTGAGTGGGAACTGGTGCTGTTGTCCTTACTAACCAACCTGTAGGAGCAAATACGCAGAGTGAAAACATACTGTTCTTAACAAGCTGCTTTGCCACAAGCCTATTTGGAATGGGAATAACGAGGAAGTATTCTGTGATGTTTTGGACAATGGGCTAATAGTAAGATTAGAATTCTGTAAGAATAAGGGGAGGGCCCTGGGAAAATGGAATCCTGATCCATTCAAACTGAACCATAGTCCCCTGCATTTCCAGAAAGAATAACCTATTGTTGAACTGTAAGCACCATTTAAGAATCTGTTAAGATTCTTAAAGGCTGCTGAAGTAAAAGGTTATAACAAACCTCATTAGGTGTATGCTGTTGTCTGACCAAGAGGGCACTCATATTCCAGGCAGTAATACTGACAGTAGCAGTTCAAGCAGGTGTACTGCGTACAAGCAGAAGGTAAGACTTGGGGGGGGTGGGGAGGAGAGGGAGAGGGGGGAAAGCTAACAAAAGCAAAAGAAAAAATGGCCTAAAAATAAAAGCTGCCTGTATTTGTGAACCATTTCTGTGGATAAATAAGGGAAAATTAAAAGCAGATCTATTAAGATGTACTTTTAGCTCCCAGAAAACATAAAAACAACTTTTAAATTTGAAGTCTGTCTCATCTTTGAAAAGATGAAGAGAGATTTTTTGAGACTTCATACTGACCTCTGTTCTTTCCAAGTCAGTTGCTATAGTCCTTAACTTCAGTAGGCTGGCTTTCTGCCTCCTCATGTTCATAATCTTGATGATAAATTTATATTAACCAAGATGCAGTAAGATTTCAGCATTACAACATTCCAGTCTTTTAACTGGTGAGGGAAAACAAACTTACCACACTTTGCCTCATCCCTTTGGGTCTGTCCTGCCTTAACTCTGTTTTCCCTGTACCGCTTAAATTGACATAATGAAACTGTAACTTAAGAGCTGGATCTTTCACACAGCAGGAGTTAAATGTACATAGCTGCACAAGCAAGAGGAATTTTCAAGATAACTTCATTTAGAGTTCTGGTAAAACAGATACAGCCCTTCCCTGCAGGGCCTGGATGGAGTGAGACAGTACATTTTCATTCAGATGAAGCTGTATGGGTGAACCGTGTGTGACTAAAGCATTTATCCTGAAGATAAAATACAGCGCTGGGTTTACAGGATGAAATCACTATAGCCAGCAATACCAAAGCTGCCAGCTGAGGGATCACCCAAGCCAGTGACAGCTTCTCATTGTAACAGATGGGCTCAGGAGATCTTCAGTCTCGAAGAGCAGCATTGTAGATAGGCCAGAGCACCCACGTCTGGCTTTTCTTAATCATTCTTTGCTCTCTCTTGGTCACCGAATGAAGTCTGAGCCTTTCTGTGCCTTTAAGTAAGTCTGTGACAATGTGAAGCTGAAATTTTGAAAGCTGTCAATACTAGTGTCCTGTATTTGCTTCCAAAAATGAAAATCAGGGCTATAGGCACCTAAAGGCCCAGCCTAAGGCACTTCAGAAGCAGCAAGAATAGCGATGCTGCATACACACTGCCTCTTTGTCATCTGATTTCCTGGTCCTGGGCTCCTCAGCAAGGTTTCCTGCAATTAAAGCTAGATTAAATTGGGCCTTTTAACTCCATGTGAACCTGGACCATGTTGAGACACAAATAAGTCTGCATTCTATCTTCTGCTGGAGTAGTTTTTCCATGGAGGATGAATCAAACATTTCTGTCCATCCAGAACCCTGAAACATACATACTCCCTCACATGAGCCTGGATCCACAGCACTACAAAGTGAGCAGTGAGCAGGACCATGCTCGATGCCAGCCTCAGCTGGCAGGCCCACCAGTAAGTTTCCAAAAGAGACAGAAAGAAAGAACAAACTGTCTTCTGTGGAAGGAGCCTGCACAAAAAGGAGGAAAGTCTTAAAATAGCCTGTTGCGGGTTTCCACTGGAAAGGAAGAGCTAGGATTTAAATAGCTTCTGGTAACTATCGCGTACTGTATGACAAACATTGCCACCAAAATAACAGGTTATAATTAGAAGCAAGTGTAAATAACACAAACTTGATTATGAAATGTGTTACATTTTCCTTAGAGCCACTATTTAAGACTTAGTTAATGCTTAGTGGTACTAGTGGTTCATTCATACAGAGCAGAGGTGTTTTTCACAGCTGGAAATGACATTTTGCCCAACTAATCCTAATTGGCTGCTACTATAAGCAAGCTGAAAACTAAGCAGCGTCTCTTGCTGTCAGGCACCACAGGAAAGGCAGCCTTTCAGGAAGAAAAAGGCCCCCAACAAAACATATGAAGCAGGATTTAGCTTGTGCTTTAAAAACCCACGCTACACAGGGACCATCTCCTTTCCAATGTATTGTTAATGTGACAGGGCATGCTACTGCTGCATCCTGTTGCCACTCGCCTTCCCAGCTGAAAGGCATGATGAAGACCATGTCTGAGGTATCAGTTGCAGTCATACAGCCAGAACCATCACTGGCTCCACTTAGTGGTGTTACTCCAAAACGTTCCCCCCAGGTCCCACCGAAACTGAACTCCCTCTGCCCCTGTTAACAAAAAGTGTCTCACTGGGTGTCCTGGTCCTTCAGTTAGGTGCAGCACCCTGTGTGCTTACTCCATTTATCCTTTAGTGAGGATCCCCAAGGGCCATCGCTCTGTCATTGCTATTTTGCTGGATTTGTAGAACTGCACCAAAACAGATGGCACTGATTCGCTGCAGCAGTAATAAATACAGGCCACCAAGGACCCACTGACAAACTGCGAAACATCCCTCAGCTGCAGCTCAATAAAACACTGGCACAGGAGCCCTGGGGGGAGCTGCTATCACTTTTAATTAAGTGTTGCTCCAAATACATACCTTCATTTATTAGCAGGTGTTTTACAGCTGCTAAAGAGAGTATTTTGGTTCAGAAAAGGTTTCAGAACTGTTTATGAGAGGTGCATTCACCATAAAGCAATAACCAAATGCATTAAAAGCAGCAGGTGGCTCCGTATCCTGTGCCAAAGCACATTGCCATGAGGTGCACAGGTTCCTCAATACTCCAGGTCCCTTCCTCTCCCTTACCTGCAGCCCTGGGAAGCTTTTCTGACCAGCTCAGTGCTAATGCTGAGTTTCAGGTAGCTGTGCTACAATGCCTGCTGGTTTCAACTCCAAAAGATACTGGCAATAGCCACCTAGACAGGAGATGAAAACCCAAACCCACTGTGTAGTGGTGCAGACTTCACAGATTGCTGTGTACACACAAGCAGCTCAGTACTTTGATTTTCTCCAGCTGTGGAGTACAATGGACCTGATGTACGTAACCTTGAAGCCTGTGAAGCCTCAGTCCTATAAGCACCTCAAAGGCAGTGGATGAAAAGTATCCTGCCATCACAAAGGGATTGGCAAAGTGAGCAAATGCACAGTTATCACTCAGCACATGTCCTCCCATGTTCTACCTCTTCCCCAGCTGCTGCCTGGGACCCCTTTGTACCAAGGATGGCTGTGTTTCAGTATGAACGGAGGAAAAGTGGCAATGAAAAAGGGTGTGGGTTTTGCTTACAGCCAGGTTTTACCCACTTTTCCATTTCTAAGCACAGGTTACATGGAAAAGCTCGAGTTGCAAACACCTGGGAGAAATGCTTACTGGTCAAAGCAAGCCTACCTCTCACAACTAGCACTGCCATCACTGTAAAATGAAATACAAATACTTCTTCTGGGTGCAGATTCATTAGAAATCAGATGCTGCTTGTTTAGAACAACAAACAGCCACAAATCTGAGCCGTTGTCGCTCTCTGTACAACCAGATAACAGGAGATAGGAGGGAAGGTTAACAAAGCCATTGTTTCAGCTACCCAAATGTGACTGAACTCACTCCTGTGCCCACTCCCTGTCTGAGGGCAGGGGCTGCCAGTCCTGTGTGCACGCACACTTGTGGAAGATCAGTTTTCCTACATACCTGCTGCAAAGAGGGAGGTGAGGCACTGGAATGGGTTGCTCAGGGGAACTGTGAATGCTCCATCCCTGGCGGTGTTCAAGGCCAGGTTTGACAGAGCCTTGGGTGACATGGTCTAGAGGGGCTGGAACTAGGTGATGTTAAGGTCCGTTCCAGCCCAAACCATTCTATGAGTCTATGATTCTATGTCCTGCTGCTCCTCCCATCCCAGCTGCGGGCATCACACTCTGCAGTAGAGCCACCAGCCCCCTTGGCTGATGTTCTGTCCAAATCCTTGCCCATTGTACGAGCACCTCGGCCACGCTCCCTGGGTGCTTACAGGCTAAAAAACTGTGGATGGGAAGTGAGCCCGCAGCAGAGCAGGCCTTTACTGCATTAACCTCTGCCTCTGGGAGCAGAAAAATAGATCAGGCCTTCCATGATGGAAAGCCTTTTCCCCAGCAAACTGCTCTTACAGCCTCCTCCTGTTCACTGATGTTTGTAAACGGCCTCACAGCCCTTTGCAGAAGGGCACTAGGGAAGTCCAGACACTTTCACAGCAGTGTATTCCAAATGCCCACTGTCCGGTTTCCTCATACTCCTGGCAGTTTTCCCTGCCAGACGACAGGAATCTGGCACAGGAGAAATAAACAAGCACAGCGAAGGAGAAAGCTGTTTCCAGTTCTACTACTCCAAGGACTGCAGCAAGGTTTTCTACCAGGTTACACAGTAAGGGTCAGTGAGCCAGAGAACTCTTCCCACTTACTCGCATTTAACATAGGAAAAACTCCTGCTTCCTGTGAATGAGGCTTTTTAGACTGAGGGGACTTGAGCACTGGAAGCAGGAGGCAGTAGCAGAGTCTCTGGAAAGTCTTGGCAATGCTTCTCAACTCATCTTTACCTCATTTCAGCTCTACAGGGCTATTTCAGTCGAACTGAAAGGAAGGCTTGAAGGCTCCTTAGCCCCTTACCTAGGAAAGGCCCTGGGTGTTTTCATTGCCCTAGAGAAATCTCTCAGCTCTTTCCACTGTCAGGCACTCCATTAACACATGTGTATAGATGATTCACTACTTGCCTGAGGCAGCCAGCAACAACAAAGTAGATGTTCCCGTATCTTTAAGCATCCCATTCCATGCAGTAATGATGTGCCAGGAGCCTGCATCTTTGAGCAGACCAAGGTCCTTCTCCTCCATCGTTGTCCCAGGTGTGAATGCACTCAGTTATCTGGGGGGAAAGAAAAAAAAAAAAAACTTCCTGCAAAAAAAAACCAAAACAGTTCTAGAAACGTATTTTTGCAATACAGAAACTGCTGCTGCCTCAGCAGCACACAAATACAACACTGGTCTCCTGATCCTACTCTTCCCTCCCTGCCTTGCTTTACACAGACCTCATTGCCCAGGTGAAGGCACTGATGAGGCCTCTTAGCACACAGGGATGCTCTCACAGCCTTTGCCTCTGGATGAGGTGCAGCTGGTGACAGGTCCTAAAGCACCAAGGGATTCTTCCCTGGAGCCCTCCTCTCTGTGCTGTTCACACATCCTCCTCCCTCCAGGCAAACATGTGCACAGCGCAGTGTGAATGAGTCCGTAGCTTTCCACAGGACCAGGGGCACGCACCACAAGCATCTGGCACCCACAGGAGAAATACCTTGTGCTTACCTGATGTAAACGATCCTTTTGGGTGATGAGGGGTTAAAACACCTGCAGCTGCATTCCCAACAGCGCAGTGCTCAGCTGTGAGCAGGGCCCTGCTGAGAAAGGCCAAGAGCACCAAACGCTGCTGAGTGCAGGTTGCTGCACCTGCAGGACATGCTTCAGACTCTGCAGGGGGCTGCATGGAGAGTTGCTGTGTACCCCCCGCAGAGCTGGACCTCCTGACACTGGGGACATTTCCCCAAGCCCTGGGCTGTTTCTTGTGAAACGTTTCTTGTTTCTGTCCCTTCATGGCAGCTCCGCTCTGACACGGAGGAGGTTTCAATGCCCTCAGAGTCAAAATGTGTCTGTTCCCTTGTTTGAACACGGAGAGCAAAACCCAGCATCTCCCTTACTGCCCGTTCGGCTGTTGCAGCACGGGTGCAGCGAGCCTCTGCCCTGCATGGCCGAGGGGAAAGGAACCGGAGGGGAAAGTGCTTGACACAGGTCCCAAACTGGTGAGCTCAAGTGCCCACGCCACCAGCAGACACTGGTGTTGGGCAGGTTTCACTCACTTTCCTTCCTGACGTTGGCTGCTCCAATACTCATCTGCGAAGTGCTGGTGGGGCCCGTTTTCCCCCAGCCCAGCAGTTAGAGATGTGCTGATCGAACAACCCCATGTGTTTCTGCAGCCTTTTCCTGCACTGTCGGGGTGGATGATGAAGGATGGTGCCTCTCAGTCTGTTTGACACACAGAAAATGCCAGTTATCCTGTGCCAGGATCTGGCGTCTCCCTTTTGCAGATAGCCCCAGGCCCCATGGTTTCCAGAAGCGATGTTTTCAATGCCCTTGTAACTCTACAGCAACACCTAAAGAAACAGGCACGTGTGACTCCTGGAACAGGAGGCTTGTTTGCAAGGGAAGGTCTCAAGTAAACTTGTCACTGTGCTAGTGGGATTGTGACCCAATTTTGTTTGAGAGACTTTTTGAAACAGCAGGGCAAAACACTGATGTCAACAGTATTACAGTGAATCATCACACACTTTCCGAAGGTCTCAGTGCAGGTATGCAGCCCTCCCGTCCCTCAAATGCTGGGTATTTGTGACAGCTGGATAATGAAAACAAATACTTCTGTTCCTTTCTCTTTACCAATTTGCATTTCAATAACAGTAAAAATGCAACAGATGCTCCATGCAGGCTCCACATCCTGCTTTGGGACAGCCAATTCCCACCCAAGCCTCCTATCTCAAACCAGCCCTCCTGCCCATCCTCTTGGGCCACAGGTTCATACTCCACACTTCTGGACATGAACACCTTCCTGGTGCGAGGACCTAGGTCTTCCCCAAACCTTAATGACTCCAAACCTGAGGCAGTGCTGTGAGACGGATGCTCAGCACAGGGGCTGTGCCACTCTCTCCACCCATGCCAAGAGTTAACCTGCAGTTTCACCTTTGAAAAGATGGGTAAAAAGCATTAGGGAATGAGGCAAGGAAGCAGCAAGTTGGAGACAGCAGAGGGAGACACCACCACCTGCCCATCCCTCTGCTAACCTGGTGTTTCAGGCCAGCTCTGTGTGGGGAGGAGCGAGGCAGGAGGAGGAAGAGGGAAATGCCAACGAGGAGCAAAGTTCAGCTGGCCTGCAGGATGTCACCCTGCCGAAGGCAAGAAGAGCAGGGAAATTCCCATCTTGGGAATGTTCATGGTCGAATTGCGGTAGAAGGAGCAAAGGGCTGGGCACACTGATCACACCCTGCCGCAGCCAAGTGCTAACTCATCTATTTCGTAAGTGATCAGTTGCCATCACTTCCTTGTCACGTAAACTCATCCCATTTGATCCTACACCTCATGACAGGTCCACACGTACTTTGGGTGCAAGTTTCCCATCAGTCTTACAGGAGGAGGGGAGATTTCTGAGGCTGGGGGCGCGGGAAAGGCAAGAAGGTGATTTTCTGCAGGTTTCCTCCCCCAGAAATCCTGTTCCCAGCCCCTGAGCCCACCACAAGATTGCTCACAGAGCTCTGCTTCATCAGACATGCTCGGCTTGGGGCAGAGCTGCCTGGCTGCTTTGCTTTTAACCTGTCCCTGACTGGTGGTGAGGGACCAGATCCCACCAGAGGAAGTGCTGTGGTCAATTGTAACCTCTGTCACGAAGGTCCAGGAGGCAGGAGGGAGGAAAGTGGCGGCAGCAGCAGCAGTTACTGCCTGGGTAGGTCTCTCTGATTCTGAACCTGGTTCCCTTCTCTACCAGAAAGAACCACCCTGCCAGGACTTAGGAAGATGCAGATGCTTCAGCTTCGCTGCAATTGCCCGGCCTCCAGAGCTGGACACACGACCCAGATGAATCTTTGGCTCACCGTCCCGTGAAATGTGTTTCATTTATAGAAGAGTGCATATAAATGCAGCTAAAGCAGCTCCGGCAAGCTAAAACCAAGGATTTCTCTCTTTCTTTTGACACCTGCATGTGGCTCTTGAATACATGGTGAAGATTTCACGTCTATACACATTCATCCAAAAAGAAAACTATGCTGCAGAAACCTACTTATTTTACACAGAAAATGACTGGTACCACTGTGAATCACCACACTGAGCTGGGAGGATGCTCACTTGGGTGATCACAGGGTTAAGAGAACCCTGACCCAATGCCTGGGCAGGAATATCAGCACCAGAGCACTTCCCTGCTGGTTGCTACATTAAGGAACTGCACCAAGAGAAAAGCACCATTTCCGAGGGGCTTGACTACCAGGAAATATGGGGGTCAAAGTGAATGTGCATCTTCAAAGCACTGCGATCATCCCCAATTCAAACTCAGTTCACCCTTAGGAAGAGCAACTGGGATGCTGTCTGCACAGGCAAGCTCTGTGCGTTGTCCTCTAGCAAAGGCACCTCAAAGCAAGTTAGAACAAACCCACAAGAAGAGCCACGTCCATTTTGTAACCTATAATTTTTAAATATAACATTTTATTGCTTAGATGGTTTGATACAGAACAAGTTTTACTTTTTATTTTGAATTTGGAAGTACTGTACAACTGAATAAAAAGAGGAATAGAAGTACCAAAACAAATGTGTGATTCTCTGTTCATGTGGCATAAACCAGTCTTGTACACAATTCGTAGCAGCAGTTTAAGTTCCCTTTAGAAAAATATGAATTCTACACATTTATTACTGTTTCCTGCATGGGATGAAATCACTAGGATTGAACTTCCTTCGTGGAGAGAGAGAGAGAGAGAGGGGAGAGAGAAAGGAGACACACAGAGAGGAGAGAGAAGATGACGAATCATTCTGCAAATGGAATCACTGTCACGTAGCCCCGACAGTTGTTTCACAACAGCCTCAAACAAAGTTCTCTCTTTTTTTTTTGTCTTTTTCCTTTGTTTATTTTTTTGTATCTTTTTTTCTTTTTTGCGCTTTCACAGTCAAGTGCTCAATGTAGTGATTGAATCTCTCAATGTCAACGAGTCCATTGCAACTCAGGCAAAAGAATTTCAGAAGATCCTTTTTTTTTTTTTTTAATTTCTTTTCTCTTTTTTGTTATTTGTAAAAGCCCTGAGAGAGGAAAAAAAAAAAACAACCCCAAAACAAAACAAAAAACCCCCAAAAATAAAAAGATTCAAACAAAAATCGTATAGAGACAAATTAGCTGAACATGCAAACTAAAGCCTACGATTCACCCATAGTTTAAACACATTATAAATTTCACAGTTTAATATTGGGGGAGGAGGGGAAACAAAAAAAAAACCCCACAACAGCAACGGTTCTCAGTCAAACTCAACTAATAAAAATGTCAATAAAATGTGGCAAGACCTTATACTCTACTAGGATATAGATAAAGGCTAAATAAAGCTTTAAATCAATAGTGATTATTGCTAGCAGATGTCCCGGCAGGCTGCTGGGAATTAATTACTTGCTACATCGTTCTGCAGCATATAGTTTAGTAATGGCTTCTCCCCCACAGTATTGCGCAGTTTAGTGTGGAGAGTTGCAAAAAAACCCCAAAACAAAACAAAAAACAAACCCCAAACAAAAAATAGACAAAAACAAAAAAAAATACCCCAAATAATAATAATAATTATTATAATTATAATAGTAATAACAATTCAAGGGATGTGTGAACTGGTTTTAATTAAGTAGAATGCACCTGGGTAGAGTTTCAAATGAATCATTGGTTGTGACTGATTTATCTTTATGTGGCATTAGCTTCGTTTCTGAACTGGTTCAAACATCCCTATTAAAAACAAGAACCAAAAAACAAAACAACAACAAAAAAAATAGAAATCACATCATATACCTCAACCATTTGTTGTATTTTTTTTTTCTTATTCTATTTGCAAGAATATTGCTCGAGAACGTTTCTCTTCCTTTGCATTCTGGACAGTGAGATTTCAGTCTCCAGAATTTTTCGGAGAATTCTTTTAATATATAGTTATATATAGATATATATATATTATATAATATAGACTGGGTCCAAGGCCCACTTCCTCCATGTCTGGTGAGAGCAGGAAAAGCGATTCTGCAGGGGTCGGGGGGAAGGAGAGGGGGGTCACAGTGTGGGCTGGGATGGGCTGGGCTGGGGGTCTGCAGTGGTGGAATAGCACAGTGAGGCTCCGGCAATGCTATTATGGCTCTGTCTGTCCCAGAGGTCATGACTGAAGGACAATTAACAAACAACAACAAGGACAACAACAACAAGGACAACAACAACAAATGCTGGGCACTCCTAGAAATGCACAGCTACAGTAGGATACATTTCACTTAACCCCTTCAACAGTGGCGGCCGGAGTGTCGCCTGTTGCCGGCAACAGGAGCCACAGAGAGAAGAACTTCCAGCTGCCAGCACTGAAGGGGTTAAATTATTGATATGAAATTTAGACACACACCTCAAGTCTTCAAGCATCAACCCCAAAATCTCAGGAAGAATTTATTTTTTATTAATTTATTTTATTTATTTTTTTAACATGTCTTAAATCTGTAGTTTTATTACCAGTAGTACTTTCTTGCTCTAGAACACGACAGTAGCAAGATGACGGTAAGGCTCGCATTTCTCCCTGGCTTGCTTTCGGCTGGAAGACGGGATAACTTTGCTCTTTGAGTAACGCGCGCTGTCACCGGTGTGATGGCCACAAGACTAACCTCAGCACTCGCAGCACCTTTCTCACGCACTTGGAAGGGGCCTCCCCCTGACACACACGCACGCACACATTCACGCACACGAGTGAGATGCTCCCCTGCCTGTATGGGTGTGCTGATACCCCGCAAACGGCCTCCGTTTGACTCTCCGGCCAGAGGAAGGGTCTCATTTAAAGTACAGTAGAAGAGCTGCAACATAAGAAGAGGAGCTGGTGAAAGCGTCGAGTCAACAACATTTTGAGAGGGGATCCAAGCGGCGCTGTATGTCTGCGAGGGGGGGGCAAATATTGCCCATTGGTTTCTGCTGACTGCAGAGACAAGCAAACTGATGGATTTATAAAATAACAATAAAATAATAATAATAATAATATACTGAAGCAAATCAAACATATATAACAGCGGGTGCATAATTTCCATAGGTTACGTTGCTATGTAACTCTTCTCTGCATACACGCTCAGTCCATGATGGCCAGAAAAACCCCCTAGGATTCAGAAGACCATTTCTAATGCTGAAAAGTGGAAAGAAGCGTGAGGTTGAAATTTCTTTGTGTTTCCTGCTTTTTGGCTTGAATCGCTTTGAACACCTTCAACTGCCATGTTGTTCAGGCCTGGAACAGGCTTAATGCTCCACCGTGTGGCAAATGCAAGAACATCTACTGAGAAAAAACAACAAATCAACACCTCGCCTGCATTTCCTCTGACTATTTCATAAGAAATTCACATATTTTTTTCTTCCAGTTATTGGCTGTGGTATCCAAGGGCCTCCCACCCCACTGCCCCCATTTCCAGCTCAGAGAACAAACACAGCGACTATCACAGATATACAAGAACAAGCTCACACACACCAATACAAAAGGTAACATTAATGCTTAAATGAAAAAGGTCCTCTCCAAATAATTCATTAAAATATTAAAAAAAATCATTTTTGAAAAAATCTATAATACCAAAAGATCTAATAAAGTAGTAAGGCACTCAAATCAGTATGTACTGTAGTCTCTTGCATTATTATACTGAAAGGCATATGGCACCACATCCAGTCTGCCATACTCTCCCCACAGCTGTAGGTCACTCTTCCGAAACAGGACTCCAAGGAAACCTTGCTCTGCTGGCTTCAGCTTGTGTGCCAGGACGGCTCCAACCTCTGAGCAAAGTCATTCAACCCCCAAGAGCTGAGGCGCACTGTCTGCAGAGGCAAGGATGTGATTCATGGGAGACTTTTTGTTGTGCATCTCCAGCAAGTCTTGAATGAAACCCGAGGGCCTCTCGAGCTCCGAGCTGCCCCGAGGCTCCTGGTCTTTTGCGGTCTGTTTCTGTGCACTCTTGGTGGGCTCCACCAGGCAGGTGCCGGCTCCTCGCCCGCTCAGCCTCTCCTCTCTGCAGGGGGAGAAGCCCGGGACCGTGCCAGCCAGGGACTCTTTTCGGCTTCCCATGAGGGGTGATGTTTGGTCACCGATGCCCCCGGTAGAGTCGCACTCGTTTTCTGAGATGGGGTTGGCACCACTGTGGCTTGACTCGTTCTCGCTGTCTTCTCCACACCTTGACTGCGTCTCCTCCTTGTCACTCTCCTTCCCATGGTTTCGGGTGGTTTTGATTTTCTGGTGTATGCGCTGGTGGCGAACCAGGCTGTGTTTCAGAGTGAAGGTCCGTTCACAGGTTTGACACTTGTAAGGTCTCTCACCTAGAAGACAGTTAGAATACAAAGTCAGCACTAAGGTCACTAACACACCTCCCTCTTCGTTTCAAGTAGTATGGACACTCACTGCTTTGGAAATTCAGTACTTATATCAAACATTCATGTCTGCCTTTATGCAGACTTTTTGCTTCTGTACTAGCAAACTAGCTGATGGCACGCAAGCGGGAATACAGATACATCCTCCCAGGCACAAATCGAAAATCAGAACTTGTAAGTGTCTTGAGATTCCTGCAAGCTTGGTATGGTGCTGCACTGAGGAGGGAGAAAGACCGTAGGCCCCAGGTACATCCTGTCTAATTCAGTCAGCAACTTTTCTGAAAGAAGCTTGCACTTCGTCCTATGGAGCTCAAAAGCCTTTGTGAAAACAGCCCACAGTGGGATCTCCCTGCTGCAGGTCAGCCCTGATACACGCAGAGAGAGAGGACTGCACAGGTTAACTGTGGTCCACAGCTCCTACGAACTGAACCAAGTAACACATGAGAAAGCATCTCCCCCCTCTCAAATGCTGACACATGGGCAAGGATGAAATATGCAGATTAATCACCGACTTCAAGCTGTTAGGAACTCCCCTTGCTACAACAGCCCCTTCTCTTTCTGTGCAGCAGAAGACAGTATCACCTCATTTCAGAATGGACACAGAGCAGCTGAAGGACCTAGACTTACGATGGGTCGCAGGAGGTGTCTGTTAGAGGTGACCAAAATCTACTGTCCAAGTGAAAAATGCCTGCCTCTGGATGTTTTCACAGAGCTGCTGGTGTTGCCCAGCCCTCTGGTGCTGCAGGACAGGAGTGACTTGTAAAAGCCCCTGAAAAACCTCCTCATACCCATTCCAGAAATGCTACTTGCAGGACAAAATTCTCCCTCTTATTTTGGACTCTTAAGCCGCAGAGCAGCTGCAGGCATCCTCTGCTGTGACCAACTGATAGTTTGCTCTGGTCTCAGAGCAGCTTTTTACACCTGAGACACTTGAATGCTTCCCTAATCAGGAGCTCATCAAAAACAAAGCAACCACAGCCCTGGAGACAAAATTCCCCCAAGTCCTAACCAATCACAGTGCCCCAGGGTAGTGCCTGCCCTGAAGAACCGAAGATCCCACCCTGACCCATCCTCTATTTCTGACTGTGCCTATTGAAGACTTGCCAGTGCTGCAGTTCCATCCAGACACCATCTTGTGCCTATGAGCACATGGAACGAGACACCTGCAGCTCACTTCTCACTTGTAATAATGCTTGGGGTCATTAGAAGATAAACCTGTGCAAGTAGGTCCACTGTCCCTGGGAAATGTTTCTCTTGGGTGCCTTGCTAGGGCAGCTGCTGTCAAGGAAGGGCACAGCTCCCCAGGAGCATTTTGGGCCAACAGCCTTTGCCCATCTATCACTTGGCTACTGCTGATGCAGCGCTGTGGCTGAGCCTGCGCTTGGGCAGGCAGCACCAGAGCACCTCACAAATGCTTGCTGGGAAGCAGCCAGCACTGTGAGAATGAAATGCTCCCAGCCTGACTGCCATTCAGTAGGTGGGCAGAGGTTTCTTGCACACTTCAGCATGTCCCAAACATTCCTCTTCTGGGTAAACCTTATAGTTATCTTTAAATACCCCACACCTTAAACCCAAACTTTAAGCAATGTAACGATTTGATGGTATTTTATCAGTATCAATGAACAAGTGGGACAGAGAGGAGAGGTATGGAGGGAAGATCCTCAGCTGAACCCACAGTATGGAGGGAACCCACAGTATGGAAGGAAGATACTCAGTTGAAAATGTATTGGCTATAGATGGTATTCATGTTTATTAAATTTGAAAAAAGCACTGTCCCAGGTTCCTTTTCAACACCTATTCTACATTAAAACATCCTTCAGTGTCAAACAAGAAGGAGAACCAAACAGGAAAAAAACACACCGACAAGGCCTACACAGCTCAGCATGCAATGAAAACAATTCAAACATATGGTATTTGTTTTAATTATCATCTGAGCACTCATCATTTGGGCATGAAACTCAGTAGTTTAGATAGTGTCATCTTCCCAAAGGTTCTGAATTAGTGTGAATAGGTTCTGAATATAGTGTCCTATATTCAAATGTGGCTCAACACCAGAAGAAAACAGGTCAGTTTTGTACTCAACAGGTCACTATGATTCAGAAGGGTAAAAAGTCTGGTTAAGGTACTCCTCTTTGGTGTAGCTTACTAAACATCTCAGTCAACTTACAGGACAAATATTTTGTTAAACACAAAGACGTTGTCTTCAGCAGAGAGCACCTTCAAAAGCTACAAAATGTCAAACTGAACCAGTTTTCCCATGTCAGAGCAGCTTGCTGACAGTAAAATGCATAATTAATAAGGATGCATAAATAAGGATGAATGATTAATTCACCTTTCAGCTGGCTCATGGCTTCACCTTATTTGCATGGTACTGCTGCAAACCGTATATCACATAAAGCGACCTAATGTATTTTAACTGAGTCAAAGTCATCAGCCAAGTGGTTTACTACCTGTGTTCTACCTTCCCTGCCCAAGCCTGAAGAGCAGGGTGCCCACTGTTGCTTTGCCTTTCACTCAAGCAGCAGGTCATGCAGATGACCAGCACACTAACACATTGCTCATACCAGGCTTACATAATCAGACAAAACCAGACTCTCTCTCTCTCTCAACTTTCCCTCAGAGATGAAGCCTTATCATATACTGACAGGTTTCTCCACTGCTCATCAAAGTACTGGGAAGAGGTAGAGCCACATGCACATGACAAGAAGGGAGTCAGAAGCTGGGCAGAACAACTGCACAGGGATATCTCCACATCGGCCCTCATCTCTAAATCCTGCGAGCAAGATGGGGAAAAACAGTTTGGGAACTGAAGATAAGGCAGTGGTGACAATTACCACTCCCCTTGACAGGCTGTGTATACAGCATGGGGGATTGGGGCAGAAACCTTGCAGATACCTGTGGGACTAAAAGCACTGTCTCCAACCTCAAGGGCTAGCAGCAATCGTGCACTTACAGAGCAGATGCCGCAGTCTGGTGGCAGACCTGCTTGTGATCTGTTCTGCTCTCAAGCCTCCTCTTACCTGTATGAGACCGCATATGTCGCGTCAGATCCTGCAGAGACCAGAAACGCTTGTTGCACACAGTACAGACTTTCTTTCTTTTGTCTGCTTTTGCAGTAATCTTAGCCTCATCAGTCTTTGGTTTTTTGTCATCACTGCTCTTCTCAGTGGACTTTCTCTCTGTGCCTTCCCCCTCAGAGATGCTTTCGCTCTCTTCATTTTCCTTTCCTGTTGCCTCATAGTCCACAGGAGACTCCACTACCTTCAAGTCCATCGGAGACTCTTCCTGCTCAATACCAGAGTCCTGCATCGAGGGAGCTCCTGCATTATCCTGAACGCTTTTGCTTTCATCCTCACTGCTCCTTTCATCCTTTCTGTCCTCACGAATGTGGACCTTTTTGTGACGGCCAAGAGTGCCAGCAAACTTGAAGGTTTTGCCACAAATGTCACAGGCATGTTTCCTTTCAGTCTGAGTACTGCTGCCTGCACTCTGGTCACTCTCTGCCAGCTTGAAGTCCATTAATTTGCTGGCAAAATTGAGGTCAAGACTTTTGTTACTTACAGAATCTTCCTCAGGGCCCTCTTCATATCCATCCGCTTTTATTTCGGCATCCCGTTCTGCTGGAGGGGAATCAGCCTTTTGCTCCTTGGGGCCGCACTCACTCGCTGGTAGCTCTGTTATCTCCCCTGGCTGTTCCTTCTCGCAAGAGGTCAGGTCCAAGACTTCATTTCCTGTAGCTAGTGTCTCTGCATCACACTGGCTGTCTGCAAGCAAACAGAGAGAAACGTTCAGTGGGATGCTCTCTGCTAATTCACAACTACCAGCAGTAAGGCTGCACAAAGACCCATGAGCACTGCTTCTGGTCAAGACTCACAACATCTGTTTCTCTTATCTGTGACCCAGGCCAATAACTTAGAGCTGAAGAGAGATCAAACCCCAGAAGCCAATTAACCAGATGATTAAAAATCTGTAACAGAAGGCTTTCTTTTCCAAAATACACTCATATTCTTGTCAGTTTCTTGAAGTAATTTTTAATATAATCACTTTAACCAGAGAATACAAAATGTTGATACTCAAAATGTTGCTGAGCCCAAAGAAGAGTTGAGGCCTACAGATACACCATTCCAGAGGCACATGAATGTGTTATTTCTAAACTCGTGTATGACAAATATTGACACAGATTGAAGTAATATGCATCCACATATTAATCAAACTGATTTATAAGTAGCAGGAAATGCTTTTCAAAGAGAATGTAAAGGCCTCATGCAACCAACTGGTACAATTAAATGTTATAGGTTAGTGCAGATGATGACACAGAGGTCAGTTACAAAGGCAAAAGATGCAGAAGTTCATCCACATGTGGGTCTTTGACACACACCAATACATCACCTGGAACCAAAACCTAAAGCCAAGATGCAGTAACAGCATCCTTTGCTGTTTCACAATTACTCCAACAGGAAAACAAAACACCTAAGATGTCCACCTTAATGACCTGCTTCGTTAGCATTTTGTAGCATTAATGTTGCTGAGGACATGTGTCCAAAAAATTAGAACAGATCAGGTGCTTCAGGAGAACAAAGGGCTAGAGCTGTACCCTTCCTGAGCTCCCTACAAACAGTTAAGTGCAAATAGGAAATAAGCTGGAGTCGATCTGGAAGCTAAAGCTGACAATGATGCAACGGCATGTAACTGCATCTCCAGTGCCACTTAACAGCAAATGTTCCAGGACACGAACTTTGCAAGCTGTATTTTCTGCAAGTTGAAACTTTTCTTGCTTTAATTCCCCCACCTCATTCGTGTTGACAGCATGCAGCTAAGGAGCAATACAACCTACCCAGCATTTCAGCATTCATCTGCAAGTGCAATAGCTGCTGAGTAACTGCAGGGATTTAGAAACTTTAGTAAAGCAGTTTAAGTTCTCCATCTGACACAGAACAGCTTGTGCTTGCCTCCAAATTACCTAGATTTCCTGTTGCAGGCTTTTTTCATAAGCAAGAAGTAATTACAGAAGGTAAGATAGTTCTCAGGCACTTGGTAGTTAAATGCAGTCTTGCAACATGACTTGCATCGAGCCATCTCCTTGCACAAGTGATATAAATGGCCATTAAATAAATGTCAAAGCTTAGCGGCATTTCCAGCAATCATGAACAATCACTCAATAGAACATAATCCTCAGTAGGCTTTTTCTTGGGGAAGAAGTGACTTGTCAAAAAAAATAATCTCACCTTTTAAACAAAACAGATCCGTTTACACAGACAGTGGATTACACAAAAGCTTTCCACAAAGTCCAGCACTCATCTAATTATCTGCCCATTAAAACATGCAACTGAGCTATAATCTGTGTATAATGCTGGAGAATTTGAGGATGTGGGCATCTGAAAACAAAGGTCACCTACACGTGCCCTGTGAATGTCCATGTGAATTCTGTGTTTTGGCTCGTTATCTCTTAGCTACAGTAAGGCCAAAAAAAAGGATGACAAAAAAAGCTATTACAAAGACTGGTCACTTCTAAACACCAAACTGAAATGCCGATGCATAGTAATTAAGAGGAAGCTCTGCTCCACAACCCCAAGAAACAGAAGCCAGGCGTGTATGAGAAACCAGGCCCATGCATGGTTCTCCTCGTTACAAGCAGGTAGCTGGGTCTCACAGCTGCTGGCACAGAAGCCAATCCCAGGCCACATCTATACACAGGAGTCATTTAAAATGGAAGCACAGCTATGAGCCTGCTGCCTTCTTCCACCCACTGTGTTTGGGGGCAGGATGAGTACACTGGCAGCACCTCACCTCTGCTCAAGAGTGGGGATGAAAACAAGGATTAATGGCAACTGATGTGACTCCCTGCTATTGCTGGAAGGGTCCTTGTCCTTCCTTGGCTACCCACTCCCTAGCATTCACACAGGGTCTTTTTCACCAGAGCACAGGTTTCTGCTGGACTAAAGCAACCCCATAATCACCGTTCCCTTTAGGCTAAGGGTAGGAGGGAAGGGAAACAACAGTTAAGAAGAGTGGAAGCTTCCCCAGCTGCCTTTGGTTGCTACCATCATAAAGACCTATCCGTGGGTGATAGACAGACAAACCGTAAGCGGCAAAGTGGCTCTGAGGCACAAAGACCTTGATGCGACACCAAAATAAAGCGCCTAGAACAGCTCCTGTATCCCTGCCATCAGTGCTCATCCACAGCAAAGTGTGGGGCACCTCCTAACAGGCATGGGCCACCCCGTCCCATCCACACTGAGGTCAGGAGACACCTCCCCAGCGGGATGTGTATTAGGTCAAGGAAAGATTGCAAGCACAGCACAGAGGGGGTCATTAGGGAGCAGGGCAGGAGACCATGTGAGCTCTGTCGGGATGGAGAAGAGTGAAGAGCAAAAGGAGACAGAGGTGGAGAGAGTTCACTTTCTAGTGTACCCAGAGAGATGTTCTGTAACTCTTCCTGGCCAAACTGAAAACAGCAGATGCAGAATAAGTTGTGTTTTCAACAGCAAGTATCAGGAGCAAAGTGAACAAGCAGGATATACACTAGTAGCACTCAAATAAGAGCAAGCCAAAACCACAACGTCTTTAAACTTTCAGCTGCAGAAGTCCCAAGTTTTACATTCAGCATGTATATCATGTATGATTTTCCAATTTCCTCTTAATTTTCCATAACTTTTTCTTCTTCTGCTTCCAGTATTTAAAAAAATACATTATTTTTCTTATAGTACACTCATCTTTCAGTGAATCATATCCGAGCTCTATCTCGTTTTTTCGTCTCCTCTCTGCCCTGGGTCCTTTCCCAGCTGTTCCTCTGTTCTTGTGCAGCTGGCCTGAAATTACATTTTCCTGTGCACCAAGGGTAGGTGGGATACGCTGTCCACAGGTAAGTTATGCTGCCTTACTAGCACAACAAACAGATGAGGCTAACATCAAGAAAAGCAAACATGATGTTTGAACAACTTCACGCAGGGCAAAGACCACTTCAGACCCCTGGAACACAGATGCACGCATGCTTTCTCTTCCGAAGCTGGCCTGCCATCCCTGAATGAGCACATTCAAAGCTCAGGTAGCGACACAGCTAGGAACGTGCTGACACACGTACGTGCTTGGGTGAGTGCTCTTCCTTCCTACCTGCACAAACCAGACCTGCTGTTTTCTCTGCCGAGTTTTACAGGCTCCTATGAAGCCTCATGCATACCGTAAGGTGGCAGCTCCTGACTAGCTGAGCTGCTCTGTGGTTACCCCCAACCTGTGCGGTTGGTTTTGCAGCTAGTGAAGAAGCAAGCTGCTTTGCACAAGCCCCGGCTGTTTGGGATGCGTGAGAATCTGCCCAGCTCTGCTGCAGATGAACTGGAATATCAGCAGGGGAGCCGGGAAGGTGTGTGGGAAACATGACAGTCGTCAAGGCAGCTGTGCCAGGTCTTGTGTGGGATTTCTCCCGCAGTGCAAGGGATGGCTGCACTGGCAGCCACTCCATCCATTCCAGCAGAAGTCAGGCTTGGCTACACTACTGTTTTTTCTCTGCTTACATGCTCATCTGCAGCAACAAAAACCTCACTGGCCATACGATTCCAGCAGGCTTGTATCTTACACAAAGAGGAGGATTCTGACTGAGCCTTCAGATCTGAGCAAACATTGTTCCAATGAGGCCGAGCTCCTCTCAGAAGGGTAATTCCCATTTCCAGAATTTTGCTGATTTATAGTGCAGAGCAGTCACTTGCATCCAGGCGATGAGGAAGGCAGGGCGCATAGGAAAGGCCTGCCTTTCTTTCACCCCTTTCCCATCTTTCACTTACTAAAGTTGTAAAATGCTTTCCAGTCCATTTGTTATCCCACAGATACTTAGACTCGGAGAGTCAAGAGGACAAGAGTGAAGAGGTCTGCTTGCCAAGGCTCCCACCACTGCCACCTCTGCAGCAACCGTGGGAGCAGAACACATTACCTTGTCACAGACAACCAGAGTTTGTGTCACTCCTCCAAAGGGAAGATCAGAGGGTGACACCACTTGATGATGTCATTTCTGACACCAGAGTCAAAGAACGTGGGCAAGGTAAGGGCAAGAGAGGAGACAAGCAGGGAGGTAGGGATGTACAGAGGAAGGTAACACAGAACAACCACCAGTAGCTCAGCTGCTGCCTTGTTAGCTCCTGGGAAAAAACGAACTTCTCAGGAGATATATTCATAAGCAAAACCTCAAGGACTCCATCTGAGAATCCAGAAACTTTTCCGCTTGCATGAAAGAAACCACTATATAGTTGTAGCCAAAATCATTTTTCCTTCAAACTGTGGAAAGAAAAGACTGTTTTGCTGAAGTCTATTTACAGTTCTGGTTGCTGTTTTCAGCCAGCCTAGCTGGAAGAGTCTGCTTAATCTTTTATAGGTGGCAAGAAAGAAAAAGGGAAGTAAACTGCTTTCTTGCAAACACAAACCGAATTAGCAAGAGAGACATGAAATGTGGAAAATTTCAGATAAAAGAGCAGATACAGATCAAGGTGGGGAGGTTGCTGGTTTCATTCTGTCTTCCTATGGTTTTCTTTTCTTCCTGGAACTAAGGTGGAATAGAGTAGAGCTTGAGATGCTAAGGAGTTGTAAGAAAAAACAAGGTGTTATAACAGAAACTATTTTGTGATTAGAGCAAGTGCTTATTGCCAAACACTCCTGCATCCTGAGAGAAGTGCCAGAAAACCCATTACTTAAATAATGATCAAAACTGGAGCAGACAGAGCACTGGGAATGGATGTTGTACAAGCAGTTGGCATTATCAGCCAGATGAGCCAACGATTTA